CTTTAAAATGTAGGCTGAGTGTGGTAGTACATGCCTTCAATTTCAGCTCTCTGGAGTGGTGGCAGGAACAGCTCTTTTGCAAAAGGATGGCCTGATACAAACAGAGGAGCTGAATCTTCAAATGCAGAGACGGTGTGTTGAGAAGAAGCATGGCCTGAGATCAAAATTAGTGAATCCATTAACTAAACATCATGGAATCATGATGTATCTTGCCAGACTGGGGTGGCAGAGCCAGGTAGATCTCTATAAGTTCAAGGGCATCCTGGTCTACAGAGTGAGTTCTGGGACAGGTTTCAAAGCTACACAGAGAAACTCTGTCTCGGAAAAAGAAAAGAATTATAATGTGTCTCACCTATCACATTAACTTGTACCTAAATTACTAGGTATGTAATGAAATAGCTTTTTCCCCCTTTAAACACTTGGTACAATGTTTTTACAATATGTTAGAGACATCTATTCAGGTTTAAAATGTTATGTGTTTGGACTTCACTTCTAGAAGGCAATAGCACGTTAAGAGATAGACCTAGGAATATTTGCGGTGTTTTTATTTAAACTTGGTAACAGCCTAAACATCAACTGACAGAGAAATTACTAACTCCCTTCCCCCAACAAAAACCCAAGAGATCGCTTCCATAGCAGCAGAGGTGTGAGTTTGTGTTAAGGGGAGGGTGCGACGGAGAGACTTGATACAGGCATTTAAAGTTTTGACATAAAAATGCACTTTATAGCCTGGATGTTGGCCATGCCAGTGCTTAATTCTAACAGTTCACTAAGATCTACTTTTGTTGGGCTAATGTTATGGCTCAGCAGTAAAGTGTCTGCCTGGCATCCATGAGGCTCTGGGTTCAACACCCAGAACTGAAGGAAACATACATTTATGTCTGTCTGCTTTCCCGTATGTATGTTCCGCTTTACGAATTTTTAGTTTTAAAAGTAAATTATTAGGGCACACCTTCAGAGTTCAATGGGAAATTTTGAACTTAGGAATCTACACTTAGCAAGCTGGCTGTCAAAGGAGAACAATTTAAAGTCACTTAAAATTAAAGCCCCTGGAAGGTTCGAAGAGCTTCCTCGTGATCTGACCTCTCTGAAGGAGATAATCGGAGACATCAGCCAAGAAATCAAGTGCACAGTGGACATAAAAAAGGGTGACAGGACCAGTCCTGTTCATGGAAAAGAAACCAGGATGACAGCTTGCAGTATTTTGGTTGAATCCTAGTCGTGGTGGTAACCGGAGGAAAGAGAATCCATTTCCCAGGAGTCGTGGGTTTTTAAGATAACTTTTTACACTCATTTATTTTGTGTGTGAGGGGGCAGGTTTGTGACATGGAGAGGTCAGAGAACAATTTGGCCAAGTCCATCCTCTTCCACTGGGTGGGTCCCAGGGATTGAACTCAGACCTTCAGCCTTGACCCATCTCACAAGTCATGTTTTTCAATTTTCTTCCTTGTTCCACAGCAATCCAGAGCCATGACATTAGAAATACAGAAGAGTCAGGTATGTGTGGTGGCGAATACCTTTAATACGAAACCCTCAGGAGGCAGAGGCATGTGGAATGTTGTGAGTTCAAGGCTACCCTGGTTTAGATATCAGGTTTCAGGCCAGGCAAAGTAACATTGTGAGAGCTTGTCTCAAACAAACAAACAAACAAACAAAAATGTTAGAAAACAAAAAGAAAGAACTGGAGAGATGGCTCAGGAGTTAAAAACACTGGCTGTTCCTCCAAAGGACCCAGCAGGTTTGATTCCCAGATGTAACTCCATCTGTAACTCCAGTTCCAGGGGATCTGACGCCCTCTTCTGGCCTTTGTGAGCACCAGGTACACATGGTGCCCAGACTTACAGACAGACAAAATACGCATACCCACAAAAGTAAATAAATACGAAGTTTAAATTGGAGTTTACAGAACTAAAAGGCAGATAGATGTGGGAGGAGAGATGGAGGGCCAAAGACATGAGGAAGCCAAGACACTGATGAACACGAGCAGAATAGAAAATTAAGTCATCTCAGAATAACAACAGCTAACTCTGCAAACGTGACTAACAGGAAGAAAACTAGGACATAACTAGGAAGTCTGTAAGAAGGAGGGGGAACGGACACTTAACAATCAGAACAGGCAGCTGGGCACCGGGCTGATAAACTAGACTCAGCATGCTGGCAAGACAGCTCAGGGGCCAACGGCGCTTGCTGCAGAAACTTACAACCTGAGTTTGATCCCCGGCACTCACATGACAGGAGAAAAATGACTTCCACAAGTTGTCCTCTGACTCCTATATGTGTGCATCCACACATGGTAAATAACCCTAGTAAATGTTAAATACACACACACACACACACACACCAAACAACCAAACATATTTTTAATTTAAAATGTAATTCACAATATACAGATAAACATGTGAAGCCAAAAAGGAGTTAATGAAAGAACATGTTGTGAGTGCCTATTATTGGGGCACACAGAAGCAGGATTAAGGATATCCAGGCCTTTATTATCTCTCTCGGCGGTCACCCAGAGACTTGTGTACATAGACCAAAATGAAATACCGTTTGCTGAGGACTTCCTTATGTGCTGTTGCTATGGATAAGTTCGTGTCTGCTGCCTGGAGCCATTCATTAAGCGGACCCCGGTTGCCAGGGAAACCAGATCTGATACCAAAGGTAACACCAAGGCCTACTGTTCACCAGGCAACCTCTCCAGTCTAGCCTCGCTCCTGTGTGATGCTGTCAAGCCGCAGGGAACTCACGGCATTCCCCGTGACACTGGCCGAGAAGTCATACTGGTCAGCAGTGCTCTGCTTGTCTCCGTTTGCGACAGACATGCTCGAGAAGTGAACAGCAGCCACTTAGTCAATGCTGTCCTGCAGTGTTCACAATATCATACATAACATCCCCTTCAAGTCTGACTTCACACACTCTGGGCACCTTAAAATGACATCTATCCTATGTGGTACACTTGAACCATTTTTTAAGACTTTGTTTTTGTCTGTGTGTGTGTGTGTGTGTGGTGTCTGCCACATGTGTATTTGTGTACCCTCAGAGGCCAGGTACACTGGATCCTCAGGAATTGTAGTTACAGGAGGTTGTGAGCGGCCCAACATGGATGTGTTGAACCAAACTCCAGCCCTCTTAATCCCTAAATCATCCCTCCAGTCCCATGATTCATGAAAAACAAACAAACAAAAGGTGCCCAAGAGATGACTCCCCAGGTGCTCACCCTCAAACTGTAACGACTAATACGCTTGTTATTGAGCAGGGAAGGGGATGCCTCCTCTACAGTAACTGAGAGGGATGAGGATCTATGTAAACTGCGGCTAAGAAGGGTATTTTGGAAGTATTCTGTGGGCTGAGTAAGGTCAGATAACTGATAACCCCGTGTTCAGGAATGGGACAACATTCTACTCATGTTAAAGGAGCAGCAGAGAAAGGTCAGTGTTTGGGCCATAAGGAATCCTCCCCATTGTTTATCATGCAAAGGGTAGTTTTTATTTTATTATTATTACTATATTATTTTGGTTTTTCAAGACAGTTTCTGGGTTGCTCTGGCTGTCTTGGAACTCACTCTAAAGACCAGTCTGGCCTCAAAAAATATGTCTGCCTCTGCCTCCTGAGTGCTGGGATTAAAGGTGCCCAGCTTTGAGTGTGTGTGTGTGTGTGTGTGTGTGTGTGTGTATGCGTGTAAGCATCTACACTTTCACGGCAAGCACTTTACCAGCTCCCACCCCACTAAATTCTTATGCTGAAATGCTAACCCTCCATGTGACAGTATTGCAAGAGTTGGAGGTTATGTTGTGAGAACGTGGCTGATACAGACAAAAAAAGTCTCTACTCTGAGGACACGAGACAGGCCATAAACCAGCAGAAGCTTGTCGTCAGACAGTGGATCTGAGGAACAACTTGAAGTTCCAAGTTTCCAGAGCTACAACAAATGTTATTTAAGCCCCCCATCAATGGTACAATGTAAGTCTGAACTATGACATTACCTTTCAACAAAGTCCGTATTTTCCCCTTAATAGCTGACTGAGTGTAAACTTTTAAGGATGTTTTACTTTTTCAGATCTCTTGGAGCAAATGTGAGCCACCTGACATGGTGTTGGTAGGAGCAGTAGGAGCTCTTGCCTGCTGGGCCTTCTCGAGATCCAGCATCTACACGCTTATTTGATAACCACTAGCAACATACCCACAATGGCACATTCGGAGGTCCCTCACAGCCGTGCTATTCAGACTTAATATAAATACTTCCCTATCCCACTGCCTTCCTAACTCCTGGACCCTAGCTCCCAGGACTCACCCAGCCCCCAGGGATGTGAACGATTAACATCAGCACATTGACAGACTCTAGTCATTAGCTGTCGAACTACAAGAACTTACACATCTTTGAAATCAAGGTGGTTTTGTGTTTTAATACCTAAAGACCTTATGAAAGTTAAGCACTGCTCAGTGGGACACTTAATGCACCATAAACCAGTGTTAGAGCTTCTGTCAGAATCAGTGGAACTCGTGTGCGGTGGTAGAGCATATGCTTCACGTGCTTAAGGCACTGGAGTCAGTCCCCAGCCTGAAAACAAAACCACGCTCAAAGTTGCCAAGCAACTACTCAAATTACAAAACACTGACCTCGCCCCCAACTCAAAAGTACAGCATTCAATACAGAGCAGGAGAGAGAGAGAGAAAGAGAGAGAGAGAGAGAGAGAGAGAGAGAGAGAGAGAGAGAGAGAGAGGGAGGGAGGGAGGGAGGGAGGGAGGGAGGGAGAGAGGGAGGGAGGGAGGGGGAATAAGAAAAAAAGCTATGTGTGGATAAAGATCATACAGGAACGTCAGACTTCACTTTTACTGTGATACCGCACTCTGAGAGGTTTCTGAGTAGAAAGATGGCGTCGTCTGATGGATTCTAAAGAAGGATCACTCTGCTCTGTGGAAAATAACCTGTATCAAGTAAATAACAGAAGCAAGAATATGCAACAGGAAGGAGTGACGTGTTCACTAACAGACAGACACGAGGCTTTCAATAGCAATTTTATTTGTAATGACCACAAACTGGAAACAGTCCAAATATTCGTCAACATTGAACGGATAAACTGGTACAACGAATGGACTATGACACAGAAGTGAAAAATGAACCGTTACAATCCACAACATGGGTTACTACAGCAAACATAGAGAACAGAAGAGACACGAGTGCCTACAATTACACTTGGTATAGATTTAAAACAGGCAAAACTAACTGACAGGCAATAAAGGCCAGACCAGCAACTATCTCTCTGTGTGAAAGGCAAAGGGCACCTACTGGAGTAACAACTACTTTCTATCTTGACCTGGTGACTTACAGGTGAATGTAAAAATCCACGGAGGTGGACACTGAGTATTTGTAAACTTTTATCTCAGTGAAAAAGCAAAGGCATATTAAAAATGACGTTACTAGGGGAAAAGAACCATGATAATTAGTAGTGTCGTCTTCCAAATAGTTCATTTTCCTCCCAGCCGTATGGAGGGATTGAACTGCTCCTTGAACTCTGGTGTGGTGTGGGCCTTTGCAGCCTCTGCTATCTGCCAAACTTTCTCTTCTCATTCCCCAAAGTGAGCAGCCAGCTCCTAATGAGTATCTGCTTTGTCCTGAGCCCCGCGACAGGGGCATTTTAAGCAGGAATTAATGAGGAACGTATTTCAGCGTGTGTTGCACACACTGTGTCAGAACTACTCAACTCTTGTGACTGTGGAGAAGCACCCATGGCAGTTCACGGCTGTACCTCTCACACTTCCTCTGAGGACAGACTCGGCCTGCCTGCTGTATCTGCCAGCCCCTCGCCTACACGAAGTCCTAGACAACTTGCTACAGAAAGTTGTGGAGACATTCAACTTTTGTAGTTATTCACCTCACTGGCAACCTTTCCAATCCTGATGCAGAACTAACATACTAAACGCGTTGCTTAGTGATTAGTTGAGAGGCATTCAGGAAGATTGCTACTGGAAGATAGAAAAAAAAATTACATAGGGGCAATTTATATTATAGAGAGGCAAAAGTGCCCCTTGAGATGAACTGGGACATCTACCCTTTATCAAAGAAAGAATTATCTTGCGGTGGCTGTTGACTGCATTTGACAAAATGTATAGGACATGAACTCAGTATTTGGTCAGTTTCAAGGCAGAAATAAAGACTATAAAGTACTTACAGTGTAGGATGAGGCAATTTTTCAATACGAGATAAAAATGAGAAACCTTAACGCAGAGGTTAATGAAAATCTAGTTTTGCAACAAGGATCAAATCTCTGGATAACTGTCATACTTACTACCAAGACCTCAGAGTGAACTAATTAATTAATTAATGTAACTTCCTAAAACTATAAGTTCAATTAAGAGAATGATACAGTTCATCTCTTAAATTGGGCAAATAGCTTAATGACAGAAACTCAGGGTCTGGCTTTCAGGCTAAAGAATAAAAAGGCCCAGTTACCCAGAAATGAAGTTCACCAAAGCATGAAACAAGAAAGCAAAGAAATACAGCAAATTGAAAAGTATGTGTTAACTGGGCCTCATCTGGGATTTTCCCCTTGGGGAGATGATGTGGGCATTCCACATGTAGGAACATTAATGAATTGAGGATCTAGTAGCCAGAAGGGCTAAGACAACCTTCTCAGAAACAAGTTTACTTACTTTGAAATTCCAGAAGAGCCAGAAATCATCTGTAAAGGAAAGTAACTACTAAATAGCATGCCATTTTCTCCTAGGGTTGACGCCTACAAAAGGAAAAATGGACATTAACTCTTATGTGGCATTGTCTTTCTCCAATACTGAAAGTAATTTTTAGATTACGGAACTCAGTTCAATCTAGGCACTTATCCAACCCTTTCCTTCTGTATGTAGGTTCCTTTGGAAATTAAAAAAAAAAAAGACTACTATGGATGTATTTAACACTACAGAGCAGACTTGTGAGTACAACTAGGTTTGAATCTTGACATTACTACTAATTTACTAGGGTAAATTACAATCTGTTTTCTTAACAACATTCACATAATATTTGAACCACATGCTAAGCACTGCACTAAATTCAAAAAACACAACAATGAGGTCCCTAGTCACAAATAAGGTGAGTTTCATTTCTTAATTTGCAATCCATGGCTAAGAACTATTCAGTGAACAGGCAGGATGTCTATGAAGATCAAATGAAGACTGTGAAGGTTTCAAAGGTCATAATAGTCAGACAAGTATTTATTTGCCCAAACATTTATTCAAATGCCAGGCTTTGAACTATCCACTAGAGATGAAACAATGGGTTAGACTTCTCCGCTCCAGTCTAGCAGTAAGAAAGGCTAAGTAGGAAGGACAAGGGTGTTTAGCAAGTGTAGTTGGGTACCCGCTAAAGGGCACCACTGAAGCTTCTTAGATATATAAACCAAGATCTGCAAGATGAACGTTTATATCCTATCTATTCTGACAGCAATGGTGGAAGCCAAGGAGCAGTATGATCAGTTTGGGGATCGGGTGAGGGTGACTGACGGGCCACTGTAACGCCATCTGCTGATAGGGTAATGAGAGCAAGAGCAGGTTTGGGAGAAAGAGCTAAGACGTGTTGGGAAGCTTGCGAGAGAACAGTGTCAGTGATACTAGCAACTAGGATTAGGGGGAAATCTTCAGGAGATACGAATTTGGAAATATCTGCATACAAGGGGCAACTAAAGTCATAAAAGAGACCAACTGAGGAGGTACTGTAAGGAAGCGAGGCAACATAGATTAGGCAGCCTAAGGAAAAAAAACAAAACCCAAAGCAACCAGCAGACAGAATCAGACATACTGAAGGAAGAGGTGGCCGCAGTGACTGAGCGTACCTGGAGCTGGTGTGTCTGCAATGCTAGGGTGATTTCCAGGGGAAATACTGACAGATACTGAACTTGAGGGATCTGACTGGCAACATGGGAGACTGGGCAAGCAAACATTTGAACTAGTGGGAATGAGAGAAATAGGGAAGAACAGTTAAGGACACAGAGTTGTTTGTTTTTTAAATGGCACTTATTTTAACTATATTCACTGATGCCACAGGACCAGTAACAACTATATATTTGTAAAGGAAAAAGAAAAGACGGCCATGCAGCTAGAGTTACTTAATACGGAAAAGGCCTTAAACAAGTGGTTCTCAACCTGTGTGTCACAACCACTTCAGGTTGTGTATCAGATATTTACATCATAATTCTTAACAGTAACAAAATCACACTTATGAAGTAGCAATGAAATAATCTTATGGTGGGGAGTCACCACAACATGAACTGTATTAAAGGGTCACAACATTAGGAAGGTTGAGAACCACTGTCTTAAACAAACAAACAAACAAAAGAAAAAAACCCCAAGACTAGTTACAGCAAACTCTATTGCTGAGGGTCAATTAAAAAAAAAATCTTAGCTTATTTCTATCTCCCCCATACTCACATAGTGGCTACATGATGCAATCTAATTTTATTATCACCTTAAGCAAAACACGAGAACTTGGTAGAATGCACAGATAATAATATTTAGAGGACTAGGAATGGAAAGTAGAAGCGGCTTTCAGGACTTCCAATCATTCTCTCAAATAATAAAAGTATTTGAAGGATTTGCTGCGAACGGTAATACACAAAGCTACTGGGAAACTGCCAGTAGAGTCCTTCTGTTTTTTTAGGTACTTAGGCTTATTCCTGGATAAGCAAAATATCAACCTGATACTGGCTTTTCTTCTCTGAACCGCTGGGATTAGGCTTCCCTATCAAGTACGCCATCAGCTTCTACTGGAGATTTCCCTGTCCCTTGAAATAAGATAATATGTACTTGGTGGGGAAGGGCGCTGGCACTTTGGGAGTGATGACTCTTCATGGCATCAGGCTGTCCTGAACGCCGCAGGAGAGAGAAATCTTTACGCTCAAATGCCAGCAGACCCCTCCAGTAAATAAGATAACCACAAAGGTGCCCCGACACACTTCCCAGCACTCTGTGGAAGGAAGGGTTCTACCTCTGGTTGAGAACCACTGATCTGACTTTGGTTCTTAGGTTCGTGTGGCTTAGGCATCGGTTCCTTCTAAATTCTTGGTTGTAATCAGGTTCCTTGAATGTGCAACAGGATGACGTGCTGCGATATTTAAGACACGAAGTAGCACGACAGCTTTGAAACTGTACTTGCGGATGAGTTACAAATCGGGTGCTGCTTTTACGTCCGGCTTACAATGCTGAGCTTTAGTGTAAGGTTGATGTTTTCACAGTTAACATGTCTGGTAACGTTAGAGCACAAAACCAACGTCTCTAGGAGGAGGAATTGTTACAGTCTGTGGATAAGGCTGCTTCTTGAGATTTAAATATTACTTGTGCACTGTCTTTACTCAATCTGTAGACAGTTCTAGAGTAAATCCACTTTCAGCAGCTAACAAAATCTGACACTTGTCATTTCAAAATAAAATGTCTCCCTTAAGCATAAGTTTCTTTTATAAAACATTAATACCCATGCAGAAAAGACAAATAAGCTAAAACCTCTCATAACTCCTGATCCTGAAGTGTAAAAGACCCTCTCCCACCCCCCACCTTTGATAGGGTCAAAGGTCTTTCTAAGGTAGAAAAGAGAATTACTGACTGGCAATGGTTAAGGTTCCATACTTACCATGGTCCTTTGATAGCTGAAAAAACTGCCCCTAGCTGTGAGAAAATAAGGAGCAAACCTCCAATAAGCATTCATCCTTAATTCCTGACTGTGACGCCTCCTAAATCAAATCTTAAAATAATTCTTGCTGCTCCAACCAAATTTTGATTATTTCCTCCATCTGTAATGTCACCATCAACTAGGTAGGTGGGGGTGGAGCCAAAACTCTGCCAGTATTTACTTCAGGCTCAGAAATATGCTTTCAAAAATAATCTTAAATTCTGTTAGCTAGACAAAATACCTCCACTGTGTATTATACGCTCCTTTTCAGAAACTTAAAAGCTATGTTTCTGTAAACTGACTCAAATACATTTTAAGGAGTTGGTCATTTCAAACCATGTATCACACTTTTTACACCGTGTCAAAATAAGAGCTGAAACTTTTGGCATATATCTCCAGAACATCTTAAATTCAGACTTCTAGTTCAACTTACAATATCAATACTAAACTTGTTGAAAGTCCGTTAAAACACAAAAGTAAGAGGCAACAACATTTCCATTAAACGAAGTCTTTAAAAGGTGGTATTCTTATGTTTCAGTCCCATGTTGCCAAAGGAGATTCGGAAAAGACAACATGTCAGAAAAGATGTCAGTGTTTATCAATTTGGACATCTTGTAAGAAGCTCAACGCTTTCCAACAATCCAAATTAGCAAATGTGAAAGAAAAAAAAATCAAACTAGTTTTTCCTTTTCACACTGAATTCTTGTTGTACGACAAAGGCTTACGAGTCATTTCTTTCTCTCACAAGATCATCCCAGCGAGGATCCATTTCAGTTGTGGCAACTCGAAACAGTGCTTGGAGATGCTCATCTGTCAGCGGCTGGCTCAGTGTGTGCTGGTTTCGAGTTAAATATGAAAAAGCCTTATCACAGATCTGGTTACTGTCAAACAAGGATGCCACCTTGTAGGCAACCCCTTTGATAATTGGGTAAGCTTCACCAGACAGGCCGGCATAGAACTGTCCCAAGTCTTTGACTCTGTACTCGTTCCACAGGTCAGTGTTGCCCTGAAGCTTCGTCAGCTCCACTCTCACGGAAATCGGCGCGTACTCAGGTTTGAAGCTAAATGGGTTTGCAAAAAGTTCTAAGTCCTTTTTGATGAACCTCAGGTCCTTAAAATGTCTCTCGAAATCTTTGAGTAGGCGGGAGATCACCATTTGGTACCTGTCAGGGTCAAATATTTTTTGATCGTCCTTAAACTGCTGTTTAAGCTCATCGACGATTATGCTGAAGGCAGGAAAGTCTGCTAGGTTTACTTCCTCCATATGCGTCTGAAGAGAACTCAGCTTAGCCTCAAAGGTACAGACTCGTTCAAAGGCGGCGGCAGCAAAGACCTTACTGATTTGCAGTTCTTCACTGATCTCTCGAAGATAGTCCATAATATCTACCAAGAAGCCAAAATCGCAAAGCCATTGCTTGTCGGAGAAGTGGACTGTCGTTGCCCCCACTGAAACCAGGAAGGCTTCTATTTCCTTTCTTAGTGAAAATATTAGTTTTAACGTCTTGCCTCTCCTCAGCCAGTTGTTCAGGCACCGTCCATTAACCCTTTCACCGTGCTCTGATTCCGACTCAGTCAGTAAAGGCTGAAACTCTGGTCGTCTAACACCTCGGGTCTTAATCATAACTACCCATTCAGATATGGTATTTATGATCTGATTAATATCAACATCATAAGAACTCAACAGTTCCAGGTGCAGAAATCCCGAGTAGTGGATAACGTTCCAACAGTTGGGGCTCACGGCCTTTTCTCTCATGTAGGAGACCAGCCCCGAGTTCTCACCAATCATCCTTAAGGTGTGGGTCGTGGTCAGTCCAACCATTCGCTGTAAGCTGAGCCCTGCAGTCTGCAGGGCCTCCAGGATTGCCGACATGAGGGCCCCCACGCTGAAGTGATGAGTCAGGTTGATAATCGTCAGAAGGTCTTCCTGCACCTCCAAGTCGCGGCCGACGCCACGGATGAAGACCAGGAGGTAGTTCTCATAGGCCACAAAAGCCTGGTCATCCAAAGCAAGGGAATAGGCCTTAAAGTCCCTGGCTCGGTTAAACAGCTGGCTACGGAGGTTGCTGTCAATGCTCAGAATCCTCTGCTGTGTGATCTCTGGAGATAAATCAATGCCTTCCAGGACGCCGACGTGATCCGGCAGCACCTCTCTCAGCAACACCTCCATGCACTGGTGCACGAAGTCTCCCTCACCCCAGCCGCGACCCTTCAAGGCCAAAAAGCGACAGAGGCCGAGGCCTGCCCGCGTCGCTCTCTCCTCCGGAGTGAGCACGGAGGCTAAGGACATGTCGCCCTGACGCAGACGCTCCACCAGGGCCGCGCGCTCCTCGTCCCCTACAAACCGTTCGTAGAATTCGTGTTCGGCCTCGTAGTGGCGTCTCACGTCGCGTTCCCGGGTGGAGGCGACCAGGCGGCGACACACCAAGCACAGGGCCCCGTCGCCCTCCGCAGGCTCCACCACCAAGTAACGCTGGGTCCACTCGGGTCGGAACACTAGAGCCTCATCGACTTCCATCCTGATCCTCTTGGGCGTCATCCACATTCTGCGGGAGGCCACAAGAGAACGGCGAGCTCAGAGGCCGCAGCAAACGGGGAGGAGCCCGACGTGCGCCAAGCACCCCCGGGGTTCTGCGCCAGATCACCCGAGCAGGGGCGCGCCAGCCTCCGCCAGGCACCTCTGTTCCTATTGGCTGGAGATTTCGTATTCCCTTAGCTCTCGGGAATGAACCAATAAGAAGAGGCGACCGTGAACTCTGCCGCGCAAACGCATTGCCTTCTAGCCCAGTGGGTGGCCGCTATTTAGGGCGGGACAGAGACCCAGGAACTGACGTGTGAAGGTACCTGACTGGCATTCATGCTGCCCAATCATCCGCTGTCACTGGGAAGGCGGGGCAGGATGGCGTCGGCGGAAGCTGAAGGAAGAACGTGGGCGTGAAGAGCCGAAGTGATTGGCCGACGGCGAGCTGTGGCGCCAGTATGGCGTTTGTAGCGGGAGTTATCCGGCGCCTGGACGAGACGGTAGTGAACCGCATAGCGGCGGGGGAAGTTATCCAGCGGCCGGCTAATGCTATCAAAGAGATGATTGAAAACTGGTACGGAGGCAGCGGAGCCGAGTTCCCTGAAGGCGACCCGGGCCGGGCCACCCACCTGTTGCAGCCGGTCACCGTGCGCTGCGCGCCTGGCCGGCCTCCGGGCTTCCCGCTGGCGGGGGGTCCTCACGGCTTCCTCGAGACCGACTTGGGTCGCTAGTAGAGGAAGCAGGCTTGGTGTTGATTTAGTGGTCCCTTCCCGCGGGACGGTGCCTAGCTTCACATCACAGGCGCCGGAGATGCGCGACTGAAGATGTGTGAATGTTTAGGGTGGAGAAGAGAAAGTCTTCAGAGTGTGTTATTCATTCAAGGCGTACACATGCAAGGCACAGTTCTTTCTGAGTTTTTCTTCAAAATTACCGGCGTTTTAGAGCAGGCCAGAGGACGTGGGGGCTTTTCTATGGCTCTCCTGTTGTCAAAGTAGTGACCCCATTTAGTCTTAGTGTAGAGCTTGCAAAAGTGGACAGAAAAGGAAATGTGAACAGTATACCTCAAAATAGACACACCACGAAATAATTTCAGAAAGGACGCCCATACAGTATGCATAAAGACTATGTCAGATCCTTTGTGTTAATATCAGTTGATGTTAGTGAAGCCCATACTTTGTTACAAAAAGAAAAAAAAAAGATTTCTACAGTCTTGTAGAAGTTCACTGAAAACTTGGGCCAGTTATTGTACTATGCCTGAATGAAGCTAAGCTTAAAAAAATACCATAGCTTATATTCGAGCAGAGATTTTTTTTTGCATAGATTATAACTAAAGTGCTTTTTAGATATTTAAAGTTTTTGCTACAGACCTGCCAAGAAAAGTTTATTATTTAAATAACTTACTGTTTATTTTTTCAATAAAGAGTTTTTCATGACAGGAAATTTATAACTTCCCCTTTTCATGCAGCCCCAGGCCAAATCTGTTTTCTGTGGTAGATAATAACTTCTTTCCCTTTAAGATTATTTCCCCTTTTTAGTGTAATTAATTTTGTTTGCTGGTTTGTTAGGGTAGTGGAGGTTGTGTGTACAACACACTTGTGCTGGCCAGACGAGAACTCTGAGGAGCTGATTCTCCTTTCCTTCCATGTTGTGAGCCCCAGGAATTGAACTCAGGAGATCCGGGTAGTGGCAGGTGCTTTTACCCCCTCAGACATTTTATGGGCACTATAAGAAACTCTTGTTTAAGTTTCAGTTTACGTGTATAGGTGTTGGGCTGGCATATGTGTGCACCATCTGCATGGGTTTCCCTCAGGCCTAAAGAGGGCATCAAGTCCTCCACAGCTGGAGTTACAGATGGTGGTGAGCCACCACCATATGGGTGTTGGGAACTGAACTCTTTTCCTCTGGAAGAGCAGCCAGTGCTCCTAACTGCTGAGCTATCTCTCCAGATATCTCTCTGCTTTAGTTTTTTGAAACAGGGTTTCTCTGTGTAGCCCCCCTGGCTATTCTGGAACTCACCTTGTAGACCAGGCTGGTCTTGAACTCACAGAGATTCATCTGCTTCTGCCTCCAGACTGCTGGGATTAAAGGTGTGAGCCACCATGCCCAGCTCCCCTTAAGCCTATTAAGTTTCTGCGTGGCAGTTTTTCTTTGCTTCATCATGAGTGTGTTTTCTTGAAAATATAAGAGTAGAGGAAAGCCTGGCCTTTAATCTCAGCACTGGGGAAGGCAGACGCAGGTGGATCTGTGTGAGTTCAAGGCCAGCTTGTTCTAAAACTACACAGAGAAACTTTCTTGAAAAACCAAAAAAAGAAAACAAACTGATTAAAATGGCTGTAACAGTAAATTTAGTTGAAAAGAGCATAAGAAACAAATGTGCTTAAAAGGACAGCCCTACAGGAGCAGAAATGTTGGCGCTGCACTTACCACTAATGTGTATGTTCATATAGTATCCATATTGAGCTTGTAAGACAAAGAGAAAACATGTTAATCAAGCACTCTGTTTGGGGTTTACTATTATGTGTACCAAAGTAGTCGCACTGACAAAATATTTTCTCTGATTGCCAGTTTAGATGCAAAATCTACAAATATTCAAGTGATTGTTAAAGAAGGAGGCCTGAAGCTAATTCAGATCCAGGACAATGGCACTGGAATCAGGGTATGGAAAGCCTGGGGAACTGGGTTTGTGTGCTTCATCTCAAACCTCTAGGAAAATGCAAGAATCTCCCCAGCCTCATAACTTTAGTCTTTTGCAAAAGGTATTTTTGATTGAAAGCTTGAGCAGTAACATTAATCATGTATTAGGTTTCTATAGTGTATTGGACATTGTTCAGGGGATGTATCAGTAAATACAATGGGAAAAAATTCTTTGTTTTCTGTCCTGGTAGTGGGAGTCAGTAAATAGTGACCAGTGTGTCAGATGGCATACAGTTCTGTACAGAATGTAAAAGCTGGGAGGAACATAGGACCAGAGAGTGCTCAATGTACTGAACTTAAAAGTGGTTAAGATGAAAAGTTTTGTTTGTTTGTTTTTAATTTTAAAATTGTCTCTGCCTCTGCCCCCCACCCTGTGTGTGTGGGGGGGCAGTATTTATTCCTGGAATGCTAATTCCTATAGAGCCCAGAAGAGGGCATTGGATTCCCTGGAGCTGGAGTCAGAAGTAGCTGTGAGCCACTTGATGTGGATGCTCGGATCTGAACTCAGGTCCTTTAAAAGATCAGCAAATGCTCTAACCACACTGAGCCATCTCTCCAGCCCTTGTTTATGGCTTTTGAGGCAGGATCTGTTGTGACTTAGACTAACCTTGATTGCACTGTATAGATAAGGGCGACTAAATTCTTGTCCCTCCTACGTCTGTCTCCAAAGTGCTAGGATTCCAAGTGTGCCACCACACCAACTAAAATGAAAATGTTGTTCCTTGTTTTTTACTACAATTTTAAGAGTTTCCTGTAGACTAGAAGGTTTGTTTTGTTTTTAATTTAAGAAGAAAATGAGATTTGGGTATGCATGCAATTCCAGCACTCGAGAGGTGAAGGTTAGAGAATTCAGTTTGAAGCATCCTGGGCTGTATAGAGTGACCCTGTCTCAGAAAGGATTGTGGGGGGGGGGCAGAAATTAGTGAGCGAAAGTAGAGAAGAGGTGTGAGGATGGAGTCCCGGTGCTGGGAGGTGGGGACATGGCACTGAGAAGAGTGACTTAGAAGAGGAGTGGAAAATCCAGGTCCCGTGGTATTTGGGTGCCAAATAAGGGCGTTAGTACTAATTTAAACCTCTTCTGAGAGTTTCTTCTCAGATTAAAGCAATACAGTGAAAATCCAGAAAGATTCAGGAAATGGGAGACATGATTATTTATGCCCTCCCTCTTCTTCCCCCCATTGATTTTGTAGAAGGAAGATCTGGATATTGTGTGTGAGAGGTTCACTACAAGTAAACTGCAGACTTTTGAAGATTTAGCCAGGATTTCCACCTATGGCTTTCGGGGTGAGGTAAGCCACGGATAATCTCAAGTACTCTCTTGCTCACAGTGACCACAAAATTTGTTCCCAGTAGACTGTTTCTGAAAGGTTTACTTTGCAGCTGTCTCTGGTTACGTTGTAGGAAGACAGTTTCATCCTAGCTGCAACTCTATGGGCCATTTTCCAAGCCCCTGGCCTCCTGAATCCTCAGTCTATCTTTAGAATTACTGTTTACTGTAATTGGACAGGAGGTATAGTATATATTGAGGGACATCCTTCGGGATGTTCTTAGGACCTTTTGTGAATTAGCTCTTCTTTCTTCCAGTAGCTCAACAGCATAGGTTGACCATTTCCCTGATTCACACAGTGAAACTGACACTGGATATGTAAAACACCTGGTCTGGACACTCCAGATAGTGAAAAAGTGGAGAGTGAATCTAGGCACTCTGACCCCAGAGTCTGTGTTCCTGTCTACTTGAAAAGGTTCCTTCGTCTGGCATTGGTGGCGCACACCTTTAATCCCAGCACTTGGGAGGCAGAGGCAGAGGCAGGCAGATCTCTGTGAGTTCGAGGCCAGCCTGGTCTACAGAGCCAGTTCCAGGACAGCCTCCAAAACAGTACAGAGAAACCCTGTCTCGAAAAACCAAAAAAAGAAAAAAGAAAGAAAGAAAAGGCTCCTTCTAAATCAGTAGGGCTGTCTGCTGTGTTGTGTATATTGGCCCACTTTCTTCCTGAAAATGCAGAGGATTGTCTGCTATGAGCAGGCCTTACTTTACACAGGTCTCATATATATGAGATCTGCCTCCCTCTGCCTCCCGAGTGCTGGGATTAAAGGTGTACGCCACCAATGCCCAGCAAAGTCGTTTATATTTTAAGCTTTGAACCAGGTCTTTGTCACCCTGGTTAGTCTTGAACTCCTTTTGTCCTGAGGATGGTCTTAAGTGCCTGATTTTCCTGCCTTTACCTCAAAAATATTGGTATGACAAACTGTACTACCACCTAAGCTCAAGTTTGTAAGTGTTGAAAATTATATAAGCCAAGCTGGGTGCAATGGTACATGCTTATAATACCGGTACTTGGGAAGCTAAATGGCACAGTTGAGAGTTTGAGGCCAGCCTAGCCACCGAGGGAGAAAGGGATAGATTACACAGCCAGAGAAATCTGGTGATGACCAAGTCATCGCTCTGCCTGAAGCATATTATTCTCTTTTTGTTCATTTGTTTTTGACATGGGGTCTAGCTCTTCTGCTGATCTCAAACTCCTGGGTTCAGGTGAGCTCCTGCCTCAGGTGCCCAAGCAGAGCCATGTCCCTTTTAATAACTGAAGCTGCCTCAGCTGTGTAGATCTTGCAGACTCACTGTGGCAATTTTAAATTCACTTTTTAAAAAGTGTAATAGTTTCTATAAAGCAGTTTCGAGAAATCTTGTTTTTTTTTTCTTTGAAGGCACATTTTATTTTCTTGGAAGATACATTACTGAAAATATATTAAATATGTTTGCTACCATTTGGAACTGAAGTGTTTCCTAAAGACCTGTGCACTGAAAGTGTGGTCCCAGTTTGTTGTTGCTGGGAGATTATTGAGGGTGAAGGGAGTGGGTAGTGAACTCTTCCTGGTTCTTTTCTCTTTGGCCTCTGTGGATGTCAGGTGTGAGTGGCTTTGGTCTCCATGAGCTCCATGCCATGATGCATTTCTTCAGCACAGGACCAAAGCATCAGGACCTACTGACCATCGAGTCCTCTAAAACCACGAACTAAGAGAAACCTTTTGTCTATATGTTGGTTATCTTGTGTATTGTCAGTAATGGGAAACTGTCTAGCACAATCCCTGTGTACCAGCATGAGTTACAGTTGCTGTTAACACAGGAAGTGTTGGTGTGTTCCTTTTGGAGTTTTAATATATGCTTTCCCTTGTTTTAGTAATTACCCTGTAAACTAGATTTTATCTATTTCTTAGAACATCATCAAATTGTTCGTTGGTGCTACATTGATGTAGATCAAAAGAGACTTTTGATAAACAGTTTTTCTTTCATCTTCTTTCCTTCCCTCCCTAGGCTTTGGCAAGTATAAGCCATGTGGCTCATGTTACTATTACAACCAAAACAGCTGATGGAAAGTGTGCATACAGGTATGTGCTGATGCCTTTTGTGAGGTATTTGGTCTCACTGTGACCCTCCCTAAATGTAAGTGTTATTTTGTTGTTATTATTAAGATACTGGTTTTCCAGTATCCCTTGCTCTCGGACTTAGGAGACAGTTTCTCTTGCTCTGGTCTCTTGAAACTGTTCCTCCTCAAAGCCTGGATATATTTCCTTCTTTCCTCTGATGCTATCATACCCCACCCCTACCCCCCAAACCATACTGAAGGATTTTTTTTTTTTGCTGAATCACTTAGCACATTGATCTACACTTGGATAAAATGACTGTCCCTGAGCCAGATCAAGAACTATTTGTTTGTGAGATATTGTATTTTGTTTTTGAGACAGTTTTGCTGTGTAGCTCTGGCTGCCAGGAACTTGCAATGACCCTCCTGTTTTTGTCTCTCAAGTGCCTGGGATTGTAGGTGTACATTGCTGTTGCTGGCTAAGTTCTTTTTTAGGACTCAGGACCTCAGCAGGCAAATGGTTGCAGAATTGCAGCAACATTTGCCGTTACCTTAAGCAATGGCAAGGTTGTTGGCTAGTAACTCAGACAGCTCAGGCAAGATTTGCTATAATAAGGATTTAAAATTCAATTAACAATATATATGGCTATGTTATAATGTATTGATATAATTTTCATTTTTAAAGTGTGGTAATATGGATCAAATCCAGGTAATAGACATGATTATGAAAGAGATTAGATAGCACATTGTTTTACTAGTTCTTTTGTGGATTTTTGTTTTGGGTGGTGGATAATATGTAAAATATATTTGTACTGAAGGTGTAAAATTTAATGTGAAGTTCCACAGGCTCACCCCTTGCTGTATGTTATAACTGTATAGAAGTTCATTGAGTTAGATAGACTTTGGGCTTGGTGAGTTTTGGTGTATGAGGTTTTATTTATTTGTAAGCTTTTTTTAGTAGTGAAGTTTATCGTTTTAAATGTGGAGTATTAATGTTTTTGTTGTTTTATATAGTTCAGGAACTTGCAAGACATTTCCAGTGTTGGGATTATAGATATACACCACTATGCCTATACTATGATTTTGGATAACCATCCTGTTAGATACTAAGAATCTTTCATGTTTTCTGACTAGAGCAAGTTATTCAGATGGAAAGCTGCAAGCCCCTCCTAAACCATGTGCAGGCAACCAGGGTACCCAGATTACGGTAAGAATGGAACATGGGAATAAAACGGGTGACAAACAGGGAATGCTGAAGTAAAAAACAAAACAAACAAAACCAAATGGGCTCTGAGTTTCTGATGTAAAAAAATGAAATAAATTTTGATTTGTAATAGAAGTCCCAAGATACCTAAGCTTCTAACTAAGAAAAACGATTACTGGGTTTCATGACATGGCAGCCTGCCTACCTTCTTGTCTTTTGTAAGGAGCTGGGATGGTAAAAATCAGTGGCAGAGTAAGTAGTTGGTATCTAGAAGTCCCTGTCTTCTTTCAGTGTTTGTGTATTCATAGGCAATTCATTTAACATCTCAGAATATCAGTTTTCAGTGTCCCCAGTGGAACAAAGAATTCCCACTTGTCTGCCTCTGAGGGCCTTGTGAGTGTCGTTAGTCAACATGCAGCCTTGTCATAGCATCAGTGTCTTTCCAGTTTGGGATCCCATAGAGTACCTCACTGTCATGTCACACATCTCTGATCCTTTTACTCCTGACCCCAGCTGTAGCTCATCCCAAGTCCTGGGCATGATAGACAGGCAGGAGGCAGGAACAAATACGTGCTTCAAAATGCTGGCTAGCAGGAGCCTTAACTGCATACATAGACAGTGTGGTTGTTGAAAACTCCAAATGACCTCCAGAGTTTTATGGTTGACTTTAGTTTGAAAAATGTCTCTGAGTGCCATGTAAAATAGTAATTGATTGTAGAGTTACATTTGTGTCTTACTAAATTGTCTGCTTTCTTGAGCAAGACAATTTTGAATGTCCTAATATTTTTAGCCCTTTATATTTTAACAAACAGCGTGCCATAGAACCATCTGAGAAGTCAATGAATGTGGGATGCAGGAAAAATACTCTATAATCCCTTTGTTGATGCTTTCTTATTCTTTCCCCTCACCGAGTCAGGACTTATAATAGTGCTGTGGCTAATGTCCCTGGATTCACTATCTTGAGATCCAGCTTTAGGTAGACAGTCAAAGCTTTCCACGTACATCCATGAACTTACAAGACAACTGGATCTCTCTTTAGGTGGAGGACCTTTTTTACAACATAATGACAAGGAGGAAAGCTTTGAAAAATCCAAGTGAAGAGTATGGGAAGATTTTGGAAGTTGTTGGCAGGTACTGTCCAAACACTGGGAGTGAGTCATGGAGCTCTGCATGAAAGGACTGCCCAGTGCTTGTGAATTGAGAGTGCTTGAGAGCTGGGTGCAGACAGCCAAGCTGACTCACGTGCTGCTCTGCTCCCAGTTTGCTCCGCAGTCCCGAGTCTTGACTCATCCTGCCAGGGTACAATTGCTCTCTTTGGGTGGGGGGTTCTTTGCTGGCAGATGAAGCAAACTGAGCCAAAAAGAAATCACTGAACAGTTGCTCACTGAATAAGAAGAGGTGAGACAGGGTGACTGGAGAGCCTCCTGTTGTTGTTTTCTGCTTCTGCTTTAAAGGTCTGCCCTGGACAGTGCTGTGATTGGCATTATTGGGATCCATGTCTCTGTACCCACAGCTATGGGGAAACTTCTTTGTTGCAGTCTTAGCATTCCTTGAGAGGGGTGGGATAAAAGGAGTTTCCCAAAGCAACTTGGAGGCTGTTAACAGGAGAAGGGTACTTGGGGCAGCTAAAAGCAGAATTATATTTTGATAAATGTAATATATTGATATAAATGGCTGTAGTAGGGGCTTTCAACCCAAGTGTCTTTGGATTTTTTTAAAATTTATTTATTATGCATACAGTGTTCTGCCAACATCCATGCTTACATGCCAGAAGTGAGGATCAGATCTCTTTATAGATGGTTGTGAGCCACCATGTGGTTGTTTGGAATTGAACTCAGGACCTCTGGAAGAGCAGCCAGCACTCTTAACCTCTGAGCTATCTTTCCAGCCTCTAAAGATAGGGTTTTGTTTGTTTGTTTGTTTGTTTGTTTGTTTTTCCGAGATAGCGTTTCGCTGTGTTGCAGTTCTGGCTGTCCTGGAACTTACTTTGTAGACCAGGCTAGCCTCAACACACTGAGATCCACCTCCCAAGTTCTGGGAATAAAGGTGTGTGCCACCACTGCCTGGCGCTGTGTCTTTGAATCTTAATAGTTGTTTGTGTCAACTGTCTTTCAGTATATCTAAAATTTACTTGTTTATCCAGGAACCCTCCCCATTCCCACTAGTGCAGTTATATAAATCAGTGTCAAAAATATTCTCAGTGATTGTTTTGGTTCTAAGTGTAGTAAGGTGGAAAGTCGTTATTTAATGAATGCTTTTCACTAAACAGTTCTTCAGTTCATGGGGTTGGTGAACAGAGAAGTGATAAAGTCATCTTGAGAAAGGCTATGGAGAGACTGGAACAGGACCCAGCAGCCTGGAAAAAGCAGTGGGGAAAATGAATACAGAGTTAAGGATGTTCTGCTTGGCGGCCAGGTGATGCAATGAAAATAATCCTGCAGGTTCAGATTGTGCCAAGATCCAGTCAGTAGCCTGTAACAGTCCATGCTTTGTTTGACTTAATCACATTTGGCATTGGTGTCTCCATGTACCTCTGTTGCTTTTTTTTCTTGTGGACAATATAGGTTATACCAAGGTATTTTGATTGTACATATCTTTGTTTAAATCACCTTTTTCTTATGAATCTACCAGTTTATTTAATTAAAAGTAGATCTCTGAATTTATTATGCGTTTGACTACCATCTGCTTAGCTTTTACCTTTTCTTTTCCAGGTATTCAATACACAATTCAGGCATTAGTTTCTCAGTTAAAAAAGTAAGTCATTTTTTTCAAAAAATATATTCATTTTGTTTTATATGTACAAATATTTTGCCTACATGTATTTCTCTGCACCTTGTGCGTGCCTGGTGCCCACAGAGGCCAGAAGAGGGCATCAGATTCCCTGGAACTGGGGCTATGGATGGTTGTGAGGGCTATATGGATGCTAGAAAAAAAACTTGGGACCTCTGCAAAAGTAGTAGCCAGTGTTGTTGATGGCTGGTCTATCTCGAGTTCCTAAGTTATGACTTCTGAAAGACAGTTTGTATTAGGAAAGAAAAGCAGATTTTTAAGAAAAGATTCCTTCTTCTTAGGGCTATTGGCTGTCAAGTCATCATGCTGTCTGTTTTTCAGCAAGGTGAGACAGTGGCTGATATCAGAACACTACCCAATGCTACAACTGTGGACAACATTCGCTCCATCTTCGGGAGTGCTGTTAGTCGGTATGTAAGTATTCCACGTATAACAAAATCTTATGAATTCCTTCCCTTGATTCATCAACCCATTGTATTATTTTGAAATTGCCAAGATAATGGATGCTGTTAGAGTTGGCATAGTCAACTTGTTTTCATGTTCATGTTAGTTGATGCAGTCACTATCCCACATAATCAGTGCTCCCTGGGAACTTTGCCTCCTGAATACTGTGCCTACAGATCTGCTTGTTCTCTTGGCCTTTGTTATCAAAATGTTTACAGTTTAAAATTCTGTCACCATTGATGTTCCTGTTTTCCCTTTGTTGCATTATTACAGGATGAGGATTTAATTTACTTATCATTCAACATTAATTGCCTTTCTTATTTCAAGATTTGTATTAGAAGTATGGGGTTCAAAGCTGAATGAAAATTTCTGTTCTTAAAGACTAGATTTGCAGATGTTAGCAGCTGTCATTATCAAAGAAGGCCGAGAGAAGAAATTGCTTATGAGTTCCTCTTGAGCTCTCTTCTGTTTGTGTTTCCATCACAAAGTCCCAAAGGCCCATGCCATACCCCAGGTGACAATATTAAGGCTCTTCCTGTGCCAGGCATACATGAGTTACTCCATTGCACAGATGAAGTCAACTGGACCTGCCTTGATTTTCCCCAATTTCTCAAAAGCGCTGGAAGTTGTCCTAATACTGAAATTCTTTTTTTTCTTTTTTGTTTTTTTGTTTTTGTTTGTTTGTTTGTTTTTTATGAGACAGGGTTTCTCTGTATTGTTTTGGAGGCTGTCAGTCCAGCCCAGCCTCGAACTCACAGAGATCTGCCTGCCTCTCTAATACTGAAATTCTACTTCTAAAGACAAACTTTTTATTCTTTGGGTAAAACCAAGGAAACAAATAGTTTGCTTGTCATCACCCATTTCTTCCTAATTAAATGTAAATGAGTTAATATAAAAAATTGTACTCCTGGATCAAAGGAAATCTCTGTATTCTACAGGGTAACTTTTAAGAGCTTTTGACAAGATTCTAAGAGAGAACAGTAGTCATAGAATTCCAAGGAGTTGTAAGAGTTTAGACATTGTCCCTAGAGAGCATTGCCAAAAGTAGGTTTCCAAACTGTCCTGAGACATTAGAGGAAGAAAGTACGGGCTTCACTGTGCACCTGGGACTCAGAGGACATGTTACTCCAGTCTACACAGCAAAGTCCAGTGAATGTTGTACTGTAGTAGGGATACAGTGTGGACAGCTGTAATGAATCTTGCTCTCCCAGGACTCTAGCTGGAAGGACATGAGATAATTATGCCACTCAGTAGCAGACTGCTGGTGCATCAAAAGAAAAATTACAGGACAAGAAGGAGAAATCTCTGGAGTCAGTGAGACTGGAGAAAAATGAAGGCTACTAGGAAGTAACTAGCTGCCAATAGGTTCATTCTGAAAACTTAGGAAGAAATAAATGTGGCTTTTCAGAGAGACAGACCGGCTCGTGTTTACCTGTCCTTGCCCATAAACACTCTTGGAACCTCATGATGGTGCTATTCAGTACAGTAAAGATTTGTGTCAGCAGAGATGAGTTTTGGGACTTAAAGCTTTGGGATTTAGTTACTAAGGCTTAGACTCGTCTTACTTCTCAGCAGTTAAAGTAGTGCCCAGCACTCAACACAAGTACTTGGAAACACTGAGTAGGTGGGTGGATACATGGATTGATGGACAGATGGTGAGTAGACTCACAGGATCTCAGCTGAACCTAGTCTCAGTATTGTTGTTTTTGTTTGTTGGTAGGTTTTTTTTTTTTTCAGAGTTGGTTTATGGGAAAACCCTGCTTTTTCCTATTGTGATTCTTTTATAGCTTTTGAGATGTTTTTTTTTTTTAAGATTTATTTATTTATTATGAATACAACATCCTGCCTCCATGTATGCCTGCACACCAGAAGAGGGCGCCAGATCTCATTACAGATGGTTGTGAGCCACCATGTGGTTGCTGGGAATTGAACTCAGGACCTCTGGAAGAGCAGTCAGTGCTCTTATCCTCTGAGCCATCTCTCCAGCCCTTGAGATGTCTTGTACTTCGAAAAATCTCAAAATTTTCTCTTTTCTAAACAGAGAGCTGATAGAAGTTGGGTGTGAAGATAAAACCCTGGCTTTCAAAATGAATGGCTATATATCCAATGCAAATTACTCCGTGAAGAAGTGCATTTTCCTACTCTTCATCAACCGTAAGTGAGAAAGGGTGAAGTGTCTACACAGACAGCTTTATGGAACCTGGAGAGTTTCTGTCTCACAGGTTAGATTACACAGGGGAAACTTCATGTCAAGTTTGGTCTTGTTTTGTCTTAAATCTGGTTCTTTACCCTGAGCTGTGTAGGCTAGAGTGCCTTCTTCATATGCTTGCATCACAGCCTTTATAAGCAGGCCCTAGTCTGAAGAGATGGCTCAGAGGTTAAGAGCACTGGCTGCTCTTCCAGGGGTCCTGAGTTCAATTCCCAGGAACCACATGATGGCTCACACCCATCTGTAATGAGATCTGGCGCCCTCTTCTGCCCCGCAGGTACACATGCAGGCAGAACACTGTATACATAATAAATAAAATCTAAAAAAACAAGCAGACCCACTCTGCCTCTAGCTCAGGGACTGCTTTTCCACATTGTATAGCAGAAAACCAAAACTTGGGTGTAGACATCACTAAAAAGCTGAATCCTAAGACCCTTGAGAGGTTTTTCTTTTAAAGAATTAAATTTATGACACTAAGGATAATTCTAGAACTCAAGGAAGAAATTAAATTACCTTGAATTCGTTCTTGTCTCTGATGACCTATTATTTGCATGAGTCTTATTAGCTAAGTACTCTTTGACTTTTGGATTTGTGTAGCTTAATTGTATATTGCAAGGGTTTGATGGTGCTAGAGTAACATTGCCCCCCCCCAGCTCCCAGCAGTCTGAATTTAGCTTCTGTTTAGATGCAAGAAGCATCTTTCCACACACTTGATTTTCATATTCTTATCTTCAAAGTTTTTTTAAAGCAAAATTGGAGTTTACTAAGAATCAATTTTTAATATAGATTTAAGATGGATATTGAGAAAATGAAAGAGGAAGACTTAGAAAGAGGATAGTACCCACCTAAGACACGAGTATAGGCTTCTAAAATAAATTTATTTTTGGATTTATTTTGCATGTATGAATGTTTTGAGTTCATGTATGTTTCTTCACCATGTGTATGCCTGGTGCCCTTGGAGGCAAGAAGTGGTTGGATCACCAGGAGCTAGAGTTACAGATGGTTGTGAATCACCATCTGTCGGGAACTGGCCTGGGCTCTTTACAAGAGCAACAGGAGCTTTTAACTGCTGCCCCAACTCACCAGCCCAGGGACATGGGCTGCTTTAGAGAGAGAGTCACCTCTTACAGCTGTTTTGTTTCTAAGGTGTAGATTTGTTTACTTTGTTTCTTAATTTGCATACAAAGTAAAAGGTTTCATGGCATTTTCATACTTTTTTGTCCGCTCTCAGCTCCCCTCCCACTGCTTGTGCCCTTCCATGCCCAGTAGTTCATTTCCATTTTCATGTCACACTCATCTATCCCATACCACATTTGTCCCCCAAGCTTTCTTAATTAACTTAGTTCCTGAGTTAACTCACTTACTATAATTTCCAGTTCAATTCATTTTTCTATAAACGTGATGATTTCATTTTTCTTTATGACTTAATAAAATTCCACTATGTATATGGACCACATTTTTATTGTATATCTGGTGATAAACATCCCAGATGATTGTATTTTCTTGCTATTGTAGATAGTGCAGCAAAGCATATGAAGGCAGATATATCTTTGTGGTGTCTTACAGGTCCTTTGCCTTTATTAGAAAGCATTTCATCATGATATTAGTTCTTTGTTTACTATTGGAAATTATATATTTTCTTTCTTCTTTTTTTTTTTAGCTATAAGTGGCTTTAAATGTCTCAAATTGTATATCTTAAGTTCTTATTTGTGTGTGTGTGTGTGTGTGTGTGTGTGTGCGTGCATGTGTACCCTCATACATGCACAAATGTGAGAGTGCTATGCCTTTGGAGGCCAGAAGAGACTGTTGGATCGCCTGGCGCTGGAGCTGCAGCTGGTTATGACCTGCATGGTGTGGGTTCTGGGGTCCTGTGTAGGAGCAGCAGCCAGTGCATCCAAGCCATATATGTTTCACAGCAGGTGTTCAGAGCAATCCAGGAGCAGTTAGAAGAGGCCAACCTCTGTCAGACAGGTTCTGTTGATGCCATTTATACTAGTAGACATTTCCCCTACTATACCAAAAAGAATTAAGCCTAAGAAATAATTTGGGAATAACATTTTCATTTGTTTTGTTCGAAACATAAAAATAATGACATTGGGGAACAGTGTGTGAAGTCTCAACAGGTAAAGGCACCTGTCAGCAAGCCTGATGACCTGAGTTCGAGTCCCAGAATACACATGGTAGAAGAAGAGAACTGACCCCTGCAAGTTGTCCTCGGTCTTAGTTAGGGTTTCTATTGTTGTGAAGAGAGATCTTGACCACAGCAACTCTTATAAAGAGCAACATTTATTTGGGGCTGGCTTACAGTTTCAGAGGCTTAGTCCACTGTTGTCATGGTGAAAAGAATGACAGCATGTAGGCAGGCATGGTGCTGGAGAAGGAGCTCAGAGATCTATGTCTGGATCCACGGGCAGCAGAAGGAGCCTTTGAACCACATGGGGTGTAGCTTGAGCAGAGGAGGCCTCAAAGCCCACCCCCACAGTGGTACACTTCCATCAACAAGGTCATACTCCTAATAGTTCCACCCCCTGTAGGCCAAGCATTCGTACACATGAGTTTATGGGGATCATGCCTATTTAAACCACTATGTCCTCTGACCTCCACATGTACCCCTGACCTCCAAAAACAAATCTTTTTTTTAAAAAAATTAAGAAATGATTACTCTGTATTGTACATGTTGCCTGCAGAGTAGACAAGTGAAAGTCAGTTAAGTGTCATTTGACTGCCCTATCCATGTTTCTGGTGGGTCCGTGTACCATAGCCTGGTAACACTGGCCAGTTTGTTCATAATGGCACAAAGAGTCCAGTTTTCTTTTCTGTCCTATTGTGTATCCTCAGCTAAGGAGCAAAGACAAAGGTCACTCTGATAGCTGGCCTCACTTTTAGCCTCAGCAAATTTGCTCTGTCTTCTTGTCAGGTCCACCACCAGGCTCGTGTGATGACTCAGAATAATAGTCTCCTTGTTGATAAAGTCATCACTCTTTTTAGAAATAAAAAGACGTTGCTGGGTGGTGGTGGCACACGCCTTTAATCCCAGCACTCGGGAGGCAGAGGCAGGCGGATCTCTGTGAGTTCGAGGCCAGGCTGGACCGACAGCCTCCAAAACAGTACAGAGAAACCCTGTCTCGTAAAAAAAAGAAAAAAAAAAAAGATGTGACATACCCTTGGCTGCCAGGACAACAGTTCATTAAGCGATCCTTTAAAATCTATCTCAGGAGAAAGGAGGGCTAGGTTTTTCTGAAAACAGATCTTCCTTTGTCTTTAGTCTTAACTTCTCCTAGCCTTTATCCATACTCCCCGAGCCTGGGTCATTTAAATCACCTTAACCATGAATAGAGCGGTTTGTATAACCTGAAATGCTAGAAGCCTTGCTCCTACTGTTTGTCATTTAGTATGGAACCTGTTGTGAACTATTACATTTGTTTATGTTGTGGAATATTTGTTTAATGATGCAAAGATGTGTTGCATTCTTTTTTTGTTTTGATTTTGTTTGGTTTTTGGTTTTTTGAGACAGGATTTCTCTGTAGCCCTGACCAGGAACTACCAGACTGATCTTGTACTCACAGAGATTTGCCTGCCTCTACATCCCTAGCACTGGGATTAAAAGCATGGGCCACTGCTGCCCAACCTGTGTTACATTTTTTTATGTTGCATTTGTTTAATTCTGAAGCTGTGTTGCTTTGCCTGTATAAAACTAGAGCTGAACAGTCAATAGCTAGACAGGAGAGAAATAGGCAGCGCTAGTGAGCAGAGAGAATAAATAGGGGAGAAATCTAGGGAAGAAAGATTAGGATTCCAGGGACCAGCCACACAGTTAGCCACAGAGTAAGAAGGAAAGAAAGATACATAGAATAGAGAAAAGTAAAAGGCTCAGAGGCAAAACATAAAGAGAAATGAGATAATTTAAGTTAGAAAAGCTAGCTAGAAACAAGACAAGCTAAAGCCAGGCATTTATAAGTAAGAATAATTCTCTATGTATTTATTTGGGAGCTGGATAGTGGGCTCTCAAAAAGTAAAACAACCAACTATAGGAACCCTCATATTGGAACCCCTTTGACAGAGTTAGCCGCTCTCTGGCCTCGTGTGTGTCACACACACTCTGTCGTAGTGTTGGACACTTGGCTAGAATTAGTTATTCATCACTGTGGTATCTCTCAGCATTTGGCATGTGTGATTGGCAGCTTTGTCTTTGTGGATTAAAATGTCTGAGAGCTGCTAGGGTCCAAAGATAGCAAAGCTAATGTTCAGGAGCTGATGCGGGATGGGAGGGGGAGGCAGAATTGGGTGCCCTCTCATTCTTTCTGCTGCTTGGATGCGAGGAAGAGTCCCAAACCTGAGGTCAGATGCTGGAAAGTGGTGACAGATACAGGGAGCACTTGTTCCTGGGCATCTGATAAAGTTGTTACTCCAGTTCTTTTCAAGGTGGTTTCATGACCATGTGTGAATATGCACCTGTGACCTTATCCTGAAGGACAGTGTTGAACTGGTTACTCTCCTTTTCTTTTTCAGACCGGCTGGTAGAATCTGCTGCCTTGAGAAAAGCCATAGAAACTGTATATGCAGCATATTTACCCAAAAACACACACCCATTCTTATACCTCAGGTAATGCAGCATCTCTGAGACTGACTTCTCAGTGTCCCTCCATGGAAGAGATTGCCTAGCGGTGTTCAACCAGGGCACTGCTGGTGAGGGATGCTCTGTCCTTCCCCACAGGAAAATGACACAGTTCTACTGAAGGAGTCTGGTTCCTCCTGCTGGGGTCACCCTGCCCCGTGGGGAGTCCTTACACATTTTAAAGAATTTTTTATTTGAGAGGAGATGTGGGGGGGGGGGAGTGAGTATGGGGCACGGGACACATGTGGGAGTTAGAAGGCACATCTGTGGGCCTGGTTTCTCCTTTCATCTTTATGTGGATTCTGCTTGGCTGACCTGCTTAGTAATATTGCGTTTACCTGCCTGCCTTCCTGGAGGGTTCCTGTCGTAGCTTGGCAGGTCCCAGTGGCTCACTTTAATAATTTGGCAGGCATGTTTCAGTTATCACACATAGTTTAGGGCTTGCCTTATTCACATCAAACCCTATAGTGCTTTAAAAAAGAAAAAGGTCAGAGTCTCTGTATGTTTCTTGTTCCGCTTGTCTGAAAAGGCCTCTTTAAAAAGCAACATGCAAAACACTATTCTCTTTGCAACAAGGCTACCCAAGGGCCCAATTCATACTGAGAACCTTCTGGAAGAAACTATGGTGGAAAATTCATTCTCAGCTGAGCCTCCCGGAATACTCCTATAAACCCAGAATTTTAAGTTCCAGGCCAGTGTAGCAAGACCCTGACTCCAAAAAAAAAATTTTTCTTTGTTCTGATCTCACTGAAATGAGTGGAAGAGTAAAAACCATGGTTCAGAATGGTTTTTAGATGAGATCAGGTATGTTCAGGGTGTTGTGGTCATAGACTAAAGTAGTTTTTAGATTTTAATGTGCAGTTGTTCATTTCATCATGTGTTTCTTTGCTGGGTAATGAATCCATAATGTCATCAATGTGGTCTGTCTTTGTGCTAGGCAGGATCTAAACAGGAGATAGGAATCATGCAGCAGAACAGGGAAAGTTTAGTGAAAAAATTGCATATTGAATTCAGATCAGTGAGTTGAACAGTAGGAGATAAGTGACAGGAAAAACAGCCATTCCCCGGGGTTGGGGTATTAATAGAGCCTCTTAGCTTCCATCCTTCACTACCCCTGTGCCTGAGATAAGGCCCCTGGTGAAGGAATGTGACTGGCTTGCTGTACTGGGGAGAAATGTGTGAGGCAGATCTCCACACTGAGGAACTACTGTGGGGGTGTACTGCCCAGGAAGAATGACTTGCCGCCTGCTTTGTGTACAAGAAGTCTGACACACTAGCTCCCAAAACTGGCTTTGGAAGCCCTTCCTGTCGTCCCTGTAGTGACCTTTACGGACAGAGCTTCATATCACAAAGCTCTCTTAGCAGCAAGTTATGAAAGATGGACTTGGAGCAGGGTAAGTAAGAGCTCTGGGTTCACCATAAGTTCTTTTGTGTCTTTCTTTTCCCCCTGAAAAATGAAGAGGGGGGCGGTTTGACAGTTACCCTGTCTTTAAAGCTGAGAAAACATCCAGAGAAGTTAGGTCTTGGCCTGAGCTCACAATCCAGCAGTTCTAGAGTGCTGACAGCTGACCTGTAGTAGCTACCATACACATGTAGGGGCCCTGTACAGACTGATTCCCACGGGAAGTCTGGGCAGTGAGGAGAGCTGTTGTGCCCACTTTATAAATGAAACTAAGACCGTGAAGGTGATGCAGTTCCCTGAAAGCTTCACAGCTCCTCAGTGTCAGGGATGGCATTCAGACTCTCTGACTTGATCTTGACGTTTGAGGCCATGGTGATTGGGCTTCCCCGCGTTGTCTAGTTATCACATGTAGATTATCCCCGTCTTTTGTGGTCTTTCTCTCTTCATGGCAGTTTGGAAATCAGTCCCCAGAATGTAGATGTCAATGTGCACCCCACCAAGCATGAAGTTCACTTTCTGCATGAGGAGAGTATCCTGGAGCGTGTGCAGCAGCACATTGAGGGCAAGCTGTTGGGCTCCAATTCATCCAGGATGTATTTCACCCAGGTGAGGGCATCTACCTCCACAGTCTCTCGGGGCCTTTGCTGCTTTAAAATGTGTTCCATATCTTGAAAACTCAGATTTTTTTGTTGTAGTTTTGGATTATCTTTGTATTACTTTGATTTTTCTTTCAGTAACATTTCTCTGGGATTTATGTGTTTGGGGATGTGTGTGTGCGCGCGTGTGCCATGCACACACTTGTATGCAGAGGGCAGAGCAGAGTGTTGATTTTTTTTCTATCTCTTCGTTGCCTTGAGACTGGCTTTCCCTGAACTGACTCTCTGAGCAAGGCTGACTGGCAAGTGGGCTCTGAGGATGTGCCTGTCTCTGCCTGTCTCTGCCCCAGTGACTGGTGATAGATGCCTGGAGCCAAGTGAGACCTGAGAGTTGGGCGTTTGGATCGGGTCCTCATGCTTGCACAGCTGATGTTCCTACCACTGAGCCATCCTCCCAGCCCCTCTTCTGCATTGTATTGCCTTCCAAGAAAAGTGTTCCCCTTTGAATAGAGCTGTGCTTTGTTTGAATTTTTATGCATATTTCTAAGCACATATAAAATTAAGTAGTACATGTACCTGTTACCCAGCTTTAACAACATCAGCCTTTTGTCCTGCTGGTTTAGCTATTCCTATCTTGTTTAGTGAAGGAAAAAATATATCTGAAAGCACATTTTAGACATTTGTTTCTTCCTTAATACTTTATTATACATCTAAAAAGTTTCTTATATAACCATAATATAAATGCTATATCTAATAAAATTAATAGTGATAGCATCATTTACTAGTCTATGTTCAAATGTCTTAATTATCGAGAAGTCTGTTTAATACCAGCTGTGTTCAAATCTGTATCTAATTATGTTCCAGTCATAATGTTTGGTTGTTACATTTTTAAAATCTCTTAAGTTGGCTCGATAGATAGATAGATAGATAGATGATAGATAGATAGATAGATGATAGATAGATAGATAGATAGATAGATAGATAGATAGATAGATAGATAGATATGGGTGGGTGGGTGGGTGGGAAACAGGGTTTCATAGCCTAGGCTGGCCTTGGATTTGCTTGTAGGTGAGGAAATTTGAACTTCTGATCCTCCTGCTTCTGCTTTCCAAGAACTGGGAACTGCCTTCCTTTAAGTCTAGTCTCTTTGAATTAACCCCTTCCTTTCATTGTCTGTGGGGAGTGCATAGGTATTGTGGTGAGCATGTGGCGGTTAGAAGGGAACTTTCTGGAGTCAGGTCCATCCTTCCAGCATGTGACTTACAGGGGTTAACTCAGGTTGTCACACTTAGCAACAAGCACTGTCACCCACTGAGCCATCTTGCCAGCCCTAGCTTCTCTGTTTTTAAATTGCTATTCTCATGGGCTTTTCTAGGTTTTCTGTAGCATAATATACATTTGGATTGGCTGATTGTTTCTCTGTAGTGTTATTTAACTCTCACTGGTCCTCTGTATTGCCTTTCAGTTGGAAATCTAGAGGTGAAACTATATTCAGACACAAAACATTCTTCTTTTTAATTAATTTATTTTTATTTTATGTGCATTGGTGTTTTGCCTGCATGTATGTCTGTGTGATGTTGTTGGATCTCCTGGAACTGGAGATACAGGCAGTAAGCTGCCTTATGGGTGCTAGGAATTGAACCCAGGTCCTCTGGAAGAGCAACCAGTGATCTTAATAGCTGAGTCATCTCTCAGCCCCTCAAAAACATTCTTTTGCCTAGAATATTTTTACTTGTAAATTTTGTTCATTATAGTTTGATACCTTAGGATTTCCAGTGGCTGTCTCACAGTGTTGTAAATTCTCCTGGTCTAATCCAAAAGGTGATATTTGATGTTACAAACAGTGGCTAAAAGAAACGTAGCAGAATTTAGCGTGTGAGGCATTTTTGACCACATGTGCTGTTCAGTGGCATTAAGTCCATTTACTTCATTGTTGATCTGGCTCAGAACATCCTGACTCACAACTTACAATCAGTTTGCCAAATGCCTGTCACCCTGCCCCTCCCATTCATTTTACACCAGTAATTCTTCATCTGCAGATGCGCTTTGTTAGGTCATTTATGTGTTTTATCTTCTTTTTGATGGCGAGGAGACAGATCACTGGCATGCTTCTGCTGTGGGTGCATGGGACGCGGCGGAAGCAGCTGGGCAGTACACAGTAAAACCTGAATCTGAGTAAGAAGTCCCTGCACCCACAACAGGACACATTAGAATCCTCCGCTGCTGGTCTTTGTCCCTGTCATTCTGTCCCTGTGTCTAAATTATGAGCACCAAGATGTCAGGAGAGTGAATCTGTTGAACATGTCACCCTCCGTCACAGTGAGTCTTGGGGAGTTCAGTGGACTTTTCTGGGTCTCTCAGTGGGATTGGTATTTGGTAACTAGAATCTGGGACCTGGGGTTTCCACTGCTGTGTGGTCAATGATATTTTTTAGATTCCAGTGGACAGAATAAAGGAAGTAAGTGTATGTCAGGGTAGACTTTGGAGGCTACAGTTCAGTGGTGGATCACATGTGTGCCATGTGAGAAGCCTGGGTCAGCCTCCCGACAAATGAAAAGAGAAACAAACAGTAGGATGGTAGCTTCCGGGACCTGCGATGAGGAGGAAATGGAGGCTGAGTGTGAGTGGAGAGGGTGACTGCAGCTGCAAGTGTACGCACCACGACAGTGTTCTAGCTTAAAAATAGTTCACAATGGTATGCTTCGTCAGGAAAGATAAATAGAATCCTCATTTCAACCCAAGTTTAACATTATAAGAACTTTGCCTAATATTTGACTGGTATGATCATGAATGTTTTATATCCCTTTAATGGAAGTCGCTTCTGTACTGATAACTGTGATATAACTCCGTCTGGCTCTGATGTCTTCATCCAATACTGTTCTTTTTTGGGGATCTGAACATCTATGTGTAAAGTCTGGCCCTTTCTTCTGTCTTTTTTTTTGAAACAGACCTTGCTTCCAGGACTTGGTGGACCCTCTGGGGAGGTGGTTAAATCCACAGCAGGCGTGACTTCCTCATCTACCAGTGGAAGTGGTGATAAGGTCTATGCTCACCAGATGGTCCGTACAGACTCCCGGGACCAGAAGCTGGATGCCTTTCTCCAGCCTGTGAGCAAGGCTCTGCCCAGCCTGCCCCAGGACCCTGTGCAAGGGAACAGGACTGACGTGCAAAGGGACGAGGAGATGTTGGAGCTCCCAATCCCCTCTGCAGCAGCTGCCTTGAGTCAGAACTTGGAGAAGGATTCAGTAAAAGGGGTTCCAGAAACGGCCGAGAAAGCAGCAGCCACTTCCAGTTCAGGCAACCCCAGGTGTGGCCTTCTTTGTTCTTCACTGAAACTGTCTTCTAGTGGGTTCTCACAAATCAGTTGCGCCTTGGACTAGACTGGGACAGTGCTGTGGCCTTGTACACTGTATTTGACAGTGGCTCATGTGGTTCCCTGTGAGAACTCTTAAATGTCAGTAGTTTATGTCTTAGTTAACACAAGGAGCACAGATGTAGCTTTTGGGGTTTGTTTTAAGAGTTTATTTATTATATACAGTGTTCTACGTGCATGTATGTCTGCACGCCAGAAAAGGGCACCAGATCCCATTATAGATGCATGTGAGCCACCATGTGGGTGCTGGGAATTGAACTCAGGACCTCTGGAAGAACAATCAGTGCTCTTAACCTCTGTGCCATCTCTCCAGTCCCCCAGCAGCTTTTGGTTTTAATAAAGCATTTTGACAAGCCCTTGCCCCCGAGAGGACTGAAGAGAAAAGCCTGAAATGGCTCTTGCACCCTCATCACAGCAGAGTTCCCTGACGTTTATGAGCCCATGGGGAAAGAGTGAGTGTAGGAGCTACAGAAAGAAAAGTGTCATTTAACCTTGAGCATTTCTAGTGCATGCTGTAACCAGTCCCCAGATCATCAGTCCCCCTGAGGATCATGAGGTGCTGGTAGTGACTGGTGTTCCATTTAAAATCACTTGCCTGAGGTGCATGTTCTCTTAGAGGTGCCGTCAAGAATGACAGCTTCAGCTGGGCGGTGGTGGCACACGCCTTTAATCCCAGCACTCGGGAGGTAGAGGCAGGCAGATCTTGTGAGTTTGAGGCCAACCTGGTCTACAAGAGCTAGTTTCAGGACAGCCTGGAAAGCCACAGAGAAACCCTGTCTCGAAAAACCAAAAAAAAAAAAAAAAAAAAAAAGAACAGCTTTTAAGAAAGGTTTTCCAAAGAATAAGATGATGTAGGTGGTTTTCAAGCATAGGTACTTCATATGTATTATCTACTTAATGCTCTAACCCTGCCAAGGAATTATTCCATTTGTTCATCATTTGGGGAACTCAGTGCTATTTATGACAGTAGTCAAGTAACTGTAAAACAAATCTAGGGTTATATTCCTCCTGCTGGAAGCCTTTCCAGGGCTCCCTGCTGCACATAGGAGGACAGCTAACTCTCTCCTTGCAGTATGGTACCGCATGACTCCATGTCTCAGCTCAAATGCCACCTTTTCCCAAAGGCTTCCTGTCTTGGTTCCTTTTCTATTGGTATAAAGAGACACCATGACCAAGGCAGCTTATAAAAGAAAGCATTTAAGTAAGGGTTTGCTTATAATTCAGAGGGTCAGTCCATGGTCCATGATCGTTATAGCAGGAAGCATGGCAGCAGCGGGCAGGCGATCATCGTACTGGAGCAGTAGCCGAGACCTCACATCTGATCTGCAAGTTGGAGGTAGAGTGAGAGAGACGAGGCCTGTTGTGGGCTTTCGAAACCTCAAAACCCACCCCCAGTGAGATACCTCTTCCAAAATGGCCATATCTCCTAACTTTTCCAAACAGTTCTACCAACTGGGAACCAGCTATTCCAATGGATGAGCCAATGGGGGTCATTGTCACTCAAACCACCATTGTCCATTCACACAAAAAGATCCTTTCCCTCCTATAGTCCCACCAGTGACTTTGTATTTTCTTCCTAGCATCTGCCATTAAAACTTTTCTAGGAGCCGGGCTGGTGGCACATGCCTTTAATCCCAGTACTCAGGAGGCAGAGGCAGGCGGATCTCTTGAATTTGAGGCCAGCCTGGTCTACAGAGTGAGTTCCAGGACAGCCAGGACTACACAGAGAGACCCTGTCCTGGAAAACAAAAAATAAAATGGAAAAATAATGATCTGTCAGTTCTTTCCTTTGTTTGCAGAAAGAGACATCGGGAAGATTCTGATGTGGAGATGATGGAAAATGACTCCCGGAAGGAAATGACAGCTGCTTGTCACCCCCGAAGGAGGATCATTAACCTCACCAGTGTTTTGAGTCTCCAGGAGGAAATTAATGAGCGAGGCCATGAGAGTACGTAAGTGCTGACGTGTGTGGCACTCGGGCTTGGGAAGTGCAGAAGCACTCCTGTTGTCCATGCCCCTGCGCGTGCACAGGCTCTTTTCCCCCACACGGAAGACAGTTCTCAAGGGCAGGAGAGGGGCTTTAAGCAGAACTGTCATTTCTAGTCACGAAAGGGTCAGCCACAGTGGTCATTGCAGCCATTTCTTCTGAGTTTGCTAAAAGCAGCATCATGAGTGAGCAGCAAAGTGCTTACCCTGTCAGTCAGATGGGCTGTGCCTAGTTGAGAGTTGTTGACAGGTCATGACCCTGGACATCTACCATGTGACCTCACATTGTGACTTAACTGTTCTGTGCCTCTGGGTGTGAGGTTAGTTTATCCTAGAAGATCTGTGACTGATTACAAGTAACCAGTAAGACATTTGGTAAGAAGATTGGATATTTTTATAACCTGAAGGTTGATGAGTCCCTTTATCCTCAGAAATAGCTTTTGAGAGTGGTTGGGTACCACACTTCATCCTTGTCCCTATTAATAGAAAAGTAGCCAAAAGGTTTTAGAAGTGAGTGGAGGACGGCGTCAGTAATTAGATGTGTAAGGAGATTGGCCCTCACAGCCATGCTACTCTTACAACCATGTTGCACACCTTTGAGGAACTTGTATTCCCAATGTGAGTATTGTGCAGGCTCCAGGTGGCAGCTCTGTGTTTGAGTCTGTCATCTAGCCATGACCTTTCTGTTTTCCTCTGTCATGAATAAATCCTAAAGACCCGCAAGATGGCTCCGTGGGTTAAAGTACCAGACTTGATGATCTGGCTTTGATCCATGTGACCCACATGTTAGAAAGAAAAAACCAACTCCTGAAAGTTGTCCTCTGACCTCCACATGTGTGTTGTGGTATGTGGATGACCACCCTAGACACACACACACACACACACACACACGCACGCACGCGCGCACGCGCGCACACACACACACACAAATGTAAAAAGTGAAAATAAATCAATTTCAGTATTATTATAAAATAGAAATTATGATCATCTGCTTTGTTACTGTTTTGTTTTGAGACGGGGTTTCATTGTATAGTTCAGGCTAGCCTAGAACTGTTTGTAGCCTTGAGTTCTCAGTTCTGCTTCTGCCTCCTGGGTCTGGGATTGCAGGCATCTGCCCCCACATCAGCCTCCTGGATTACTTTTTGAAAAGATTGTATAGCTCAGAAGCAAGTTGGCACCATCTCCACTAACCCTGAACCCTGAAACAGCTGCTCCGAGTTAGTCTCTTATATTTCCTCTCTGTCACCATTGTCTGGGCCAACACAGGAAGACCTGAACTTTCCTTTCATAAATTGCTCCCTGTCTGTCTGTCTGTCTGTCGTTGTCTCCCCCGCCCTCCCCCTCTCTTCTCTCCACGTGACAAGTGATGCAGCCGTCTTCCTGTGACTGGGCTTCTGCCCACTGTATGTGTTACCAGTTGGCTCCTGATTTTTATTTCCATGAAATGTGTTGTGGTTGCGCTTTCCCTGGTGTTACTTTCCAAGCTGGGAGCTCTTAAAGCAGTTTTACGTCATGTATGAAAGGCGGGCTGCTGCTTAGTTTATTCAGCAGCTCTCCTCATAGTGGTTTTAGATAATCTGCCTCATTCTTGGGAGTCAGTAAGATCATTTCAGTGATATTTTTAACTAATAAACTGTTCAATGCAGGGTAAAACCTCCTATATCAAGTGTGATCAGATTTATTTAGAGTCTTGCTGAAACCAAAGTGATGACTCTAAGTGACCTAAAAATACATATCCATGTATGCTGTCTAACTTGATTCTCAAATATGTTTGGAGAGAGCATATGCTTCTTCCTCCTATTTTAGAGATGAAGAAAAGAAAGATGAGGAGAGGAAAAACAGGTTACGTGAAATATCTGAACACTCTAAAACTGGCCTGGCATAGTGTTCCTCGTCTTTAGTCCCCACCACTGTGAAAACTGAGGCAGGAGGATCACTTCAGTCAAGGAACTCTGGGCTAGCCTAGAAAACATAGTAGGACTTCATGTCATAAACAAAATAAAACACAACAAAGAACAGCCAAGCACAGTGAGTTGGTACGGGCAGTGTCCTTTGTGGGTAGGTTCACCTGATGTTAAGTGCAAAATAGGGTCAGTGCGTTATCTTTGGTAAACAGTTCGTCTCGGGTCAGATGCTGGCACTGTTAACCTGGTGATCACAGGGCTATTGTGCTACAGTGTAAGTTAATTACTTGTCACATGATGTTAGTTAATGACTTCGTGCAGTGCAGTGCGTTGTGCCGTGCCTGGAGTGAGGTGTATCTCTGTTAAGGTTCTCAGTCAGTCTGTCTGTCATCATTTCTACCTGTAAAGCATGTGGGATGAGTTTATGGCTGTGCATGCTGAATGTCAGGGGTTTGCTTTGGTTTGATTTTTGGGGGGCGGGGAGTTGTTTTTGTTTTTGTTTTTTTCTTTTCCTTTACTGCCAACAGAAAGGCATCAGGTGGTTGGAGAATGGATACAGGTATTGCTTCCCTTTGTGCATTGGGTGCAGTTCCTGGAATTTCTCTCCAGCTGTGGGCTAATATTAGTCTGTCAGACTCCCCATTTTAAACCATTCTTTTTTCTTATATATATTGTGTTTCTCCTGGTGTATGTCTGTGTGAGGATGTCAGATCTTAGAGTTACAGACAGTTGTGAACTGCCATGTAGGTGTTGGGCATTGAACCTGGGTCCTCTGGAAGAGCAGTTGGTGCTCATATCCACTGAGTCATTTCTCCAGCCGCTTCAAGCCATTCTTACCTGTCCTCCTGCTCACAGGGCCAGAGCCCATGAAAGCTGAAGGTTGCCATTCCGGAGCCTTTCCTCCTGGGTAAAACCAGCTTCGGAAGTCCTGTCACATCTCTGGCTTCCCACTTTGCCTTTCATTTTGACCCTTGTATATTCCTTAATCTTTCAGCAGCTTCTCTGCACATCCTAAGAGGCAAACTGTGTGTCATTCCATATTTGGTTTCTTTCAGCAGGAGGCCTACCTGAGACATCTCTGCTTGGGCGGGGCTGGGATGTGAAGAGGTGTGTGGTGGGATTACATTACTTACACGTTTCTGGTTTGCTTTGTTTCTAGCTCTCCGAGAGATGCTCCGGAACCATTCTTTTGTGGGCTGTGTGAATCCTCAGTGGGCCTTGGCACAGCACCAGACCAAGCTATACCTCCTCAACACTACCAAGCTCAGGTAAATCTGTGTGAAAGCAGCCGAGTGGTCTCTGGGGACAACACCAGTGCTAGGTGCGGGTGGAGGAGCAGGTGAGGTGTCTGATAAGGATAGTTGGAGTCTTGAGAGTCCCAGATGTGAGTGCAGATCCAGGGTCAACCTTTCTCCATTTCCAGGACAGGAAATTTCTTTTCTATCCCATATTTCATGTATCTGACCTATAAATTAAGATAGTAAGACTAAATTTCACTGGTATTTTATAGGGATAAATAACTAGAGAAGCTTAGGCCTTGACTCAGCATTCAGTAAACAGCGTTCAGTAAACATTGGCTGAAAGCCAGGTGTTGAAGGCTTTGTGCTGTTAGAGGTCTGGTGTCTCTTGTGTGCAACAGGATTACATAGAGGAAGGCAAGAGAAGGAAGTCCAGATGTCTGTGTTGGTATTGGTAATACAGCAAAAGCTTATATCTAGCCGCCGATGTCAGAGTTTTGTACAACATGGGAAATGCAATCCCAACAGTGCCATTCGCCCTCTTCACACCTGATGACATGTTTATTGTTTCCAGGAACTTTGAGAATCTGTTGCATCTAGAGTGTGTTCTTAAATTGGTGATGTGTATGGGAGGGTGCTGCTGCCTGTGTCCACTCGGTGTCACTACTCTATGACTTCTATTCTAAGCCTTCCTGTGACCAGAGTGCTTCTTGATCTTGTGAATGGAACAGACACTGTACATTGCATGGACATGGTACATGAGCTCTCAAAGTCTATTCCATCTCTACTCTAGAAGCAGCCCCCATCCCAAAGCTCCCTACTGGCACAAATACTTTCTCTAGCTTTCAGAGTCATTCTTGGGTTGGGAGCATTTTTGGCCTAGAGCTAAGCTTCACTGCACTTTGACTTGTTGGGTGTGTTAGCTCCTTTTCTCATTTCTGTGACCATATACATGCGAGAAGCAATGTCGGGGAAGATAAGTTTATCCAGGCTGCATTTGATGCAGTCTGCCATGATGGGGAAGGTATTATGGTAATAACAGCTCCTGGCTGCTGCAGCAGGAGTATGAGACAGCTGAGTACATGACCTCAGCAGTCCAGAAACAAGAGTTCAGTATACATACTTAATTGCTGTTCTTAGATTATTGTCAGCCGGTGCTACATACTAACTCAAATATCAGTGCACTTCCAGACATGGGGCAAACACCTACAATCCCAGCTCTTGGCAGGTGTAGGTAAAGAATGATTGTGAGTTCCAGATTGTGCTACATAGCAAGATCTTTTATCCCACCCCATCCCCCCCAAAAAAATCAGTGCAATAGAATTCTGCCTTAGGGTCCATTTCTGATGATTCAGGGAAAGCTGCCCTTTCTATATGCTCCATATACTTTTTCCCATAAAGCTGCTTCTGTGATGGTGGGGATGAACCCAGGCCTTCACAAGCTATGCAGGCAAGCACTCCACACGGTGGCGTTTAAGGGTGAACTGTCAGAAGGTACTCTGTTGAGTGATGTGGCTCTTTTTCCTTTTTTTGAGGGGCCCATCACCCAGCTCCCAAGTACATCACACACAAAGGCTTATTCTTAGTTATGAATGCCTGGCCTTAGCTTAGCTGGCTTCTTTCTAGCCAGCTTTTCTATCTTAAGTTAACACATCTACTTTTTCCCTCTAGGTTTTTATATTTCTTACTTCTATATATCTTACTTTCCTTCTTAATTTATGGGTGGCTGACCCCTGACGTCCTCCTCCTCTGCCCTGTTCCTCCTACTATTTATACTCTCTGCCTGCCAGGCCCACCTCTCTTTGTTCCTGCCTCAATGCTGGTCATTCATGTCTTTATTAGGACCACCAGGTGTTTTAGACAGGCACAGTAACACAGCTTGACAGAGTTTAACAAATGTAGCATAAACAAAAGTCACACACCTTAAAATAATATTCTACCACAGTAATCTGTAGGACTCTTTGTTAACATAGGAAGGTAAGCAGACAGTGTTTTAGATTCCATTGCAGAAGCCGGGCAGTGGTGGTGCACGCCTTCAATCCCAGCACTCGGGAGGCGGAGGCAGACGGATCTCTGTGAGTTCAAGACCAGCCTAGACTATAAGAGCTAGTTCCAGGACAGCCTCCAAAGCCACAGAGAAACCCTGTCTCAAAACCAAAAATAAATAAATAAGTAAATAAAATAGATCCCATTGCAGGAATGTGAAACCTTTACAGCACTAGATAGTATGTGTGAGTTTGTCTGGCGCTGGGATGGCCGCAGCGTCCCAGTGCTTTATATAGAGGAGACATCCTTAGCCAGGCCCACAGCAGGCAGCAGCATCTTTGTCCCATTCTCTCCTTGCTGCTCAGCCCTCGATCATAGATTTATTTTTCTTAAAGTCTTTCATTTTCATTTGCAGTGAAGAGCTGTTCTACCAGATACTCATTTATGATTTTGCCAATTTTGGTGTTCTGAGGTTATCGGTAAGTTTCTTTCCTCCTCACTTCTGAAATAGCAGCCGGTCATTTCTCAGAATATTAACTATACAGTGATTTCCTACTTAGCAAACATAAACTTTCCAAAGTATGTTTAAGAGTTTCTGTACCTTGTGATTTGCAATGAAGTGTTTTTGATTGAATCTTTTCAGGTAATTTGTGATTTTTACAGCTATCTTAAACAAATGCTTCGTGTTATACAAGTTACTGCATATTTACTTGAAATTAAGAGTAGAAATATTCTCTAGAACCGTGGCTGGAACAGGGATGGAGTGTGTTTGCTTTTTATTTTGTGGTGCTGTGTAGGCACTCTGCCATTGAACTTTACTCTAAACCTCTAACAATTTTAGCTCGTCTGTTCCAAGGTTTTGGTGCCAAATCTTAATTTAACCTTTGGAAGTTTGAGTAAAAGTGTATTGCATCTGTAGATAACTTTTGATAAAAGATAAACTTTATTAGCTTAATGATTACTTTTCTTTGGTGCTGTATGTACATGGCAGCTCGACAATTTCAATTTCTGGTGCTTATTGCCAGACTACAGAGATGCACATGAGTTTTGTACATAAATGTTGTATCTCGCAGGTTTGCTAAACTCAGTTTGGTTAGTGCTTATATAGAGTCTGGTTTTTTCTATAAATGGTCATCATATTGAGAGGCAGTTTTACCTCCTTACACCCAGTTTGGATGCTTCCCCTTGTCTTGATGGCTTACAGTCTGGGCTGAAAGTGGCAAGAATGGGAAGCCTTCTCTTGTTCCAGTCTTGAGGGAAGTAGTCACACTTTGGTTGTTGAATATGATTACTGAATTTGCTAGTAACTGGGAGAGAGTTTTTGTGGATGCCCTTAGGAAGTTGGAACAATTTTTTTAAATTTAGTAATAGGTATAGAAAATTTTCAAATGTCTTTTTCCCTCTAAGATATGTTTTTTAAATTATTAGGCTATTAATATAGTGAAATACATTGACTAATTTCCATGTGAAACCAATCTTGTACTTGTGGGATGAACTCTGGCTGGTTATGTGTTGAGATTTGTACTTATAAGTTTTTTGTCTGTGTTTGTGTTACTAGTGTATTGTTTTTGTATTGTATTTGTGTGGTTTTAGTAGAGGATAATGTTGATCTCATAGATGAGTTGGTAAGCTTTCCTTTGCTATTTTTCTGAAAGAGTTTCGTAGGATTGTTATTATTTACTCATTGTTTGGAATGGTCTGGGCTTGATGATTCCATGATAGGAAATTCTTATTAGAGATTCGGGTTATTACTCAGATAGAGTTGTTCATGTTGTCTTTTCCCTCTTGTTGTATGGTGTGCTCAGTGTGGGTGTATGATTGTGTGTATGACTGTAGGACCAGAGGATGGTGTCTGGTGTTGTTCTCCAGTATCTATCACTTCATCTTGGTTTTTTGTCATTGTTTTGTTTTTGAGACAGTATCTCTCACTAGGACCTGAAGCTTTCTGATAAGCTAGGCTGTCTGTATTTAGATCTGTTTCATTTAGCACATATAGTCTCCTAGAGGTTTTCCAGGAATCTGTTACTATTTCTACTTTAATTCTAGCTTTGGTGAAGAACATTCATGAGTGTGTTCACACTTATTGAGACTTGTTGCATGGCCCAAAGCATGTATTTGTCAGTTTATCTTCTTTGTGCACCTGAAAAAGAATCTATATTCTTACCTTGATAAGAGTGTCTATAGATACCACCTATGTGTATTGTGCTCTTTGTGATGCTTGTCAATCATCTCCATAGTGATCTTCTGTCTACTTGTTCTGCTGTTAATAGGGGTGTTGGAACTGCAGTGATGAGTGGGCATTCGGTCTCTTTTGGTGCTTTTATATTAGAACTGAATTTGGTCTGTTGCACTCAAGCGTCCCACCTAATCCCTACATTCTTGTTTCTTTCCAGGAACCAGCACCTCTCTTTGACCTCGCCATGCTGGCCTTAGACAGTCCTGAAAGTGGCTGGACAGAGGAAGATGGCCCCAAGGAAGGACTTGCAGAATACATTGTTGAGTTTTTGAAGAAGAAAGCTGAGATGCTTGCAGACTATTTCTCTTTGGAAATTGATGAGGTGGGGCAGCTATTTACAAGTCTTTGAACTTTCTGTCAGATAAGACTTAATTTCCTCGGTTGGAACCAAAAGGCTGACTTCCCCCTCAGAAACAGCATGTATCATACATTTTCTTCACTCCCCATTTGCACTGGAGACACCTAAGCTAGCATCCATCATGCTATTCCTATTCTCAGGGTGAAGTACTCTCCCGTGAGGGAACACTGAATCCCAGTCCTTAGAGGCCACATATCTTTCTCTTACCCTTGATCTTTGGGGCCACCTGTCCTCATGTTTCTGAGCAGATCCAGAAGCAAAAGTTGTTCCTGACCCAAGGCTCTTTTTAAATGCTTAACCTTTTGGCTCACAGAGCTGATCCTACAACCTGTACCCAGTAAAAGGCTTGGAGAAACATAAGAGAAATGAAATCTCTCGGACATAATGCCATTATTTCTTACCCTCTTTTCTTGCCACCTCCCCCCAAGCAGGAAGGAAACCTAATTGGATTACCCCTTCTGATTGACAACTATGTGCCCCCTTTGGAGGGACTGCCTCTCTTCATCCTTCGACTGGCCACAGAGGTATATAACAGCAACAGGTGCCTGCGTGTGTGCATGTGTGTCTGTGCGTCTGCATGTGCATGTATGTATGTATGTGTGCTTTGGTGTGCCTCAGTGTGTCTATGATATTTATAATAAAATGTTAAAGCACTGCACTGAATGCTTTTCTTGTATTGAATTCTGTGGCTCAGGTGAATTGGGATGAAGAGAAGGAATGTTTTGAAAGCCTCAGTAAAGAATGTGCAGTGTTTTACTCCATTCGGAAGCAGTATATACTCGAGGAGTCAACCCTCTCAGGCCAGCAGGTACTGTTGTGACTAATGTACATTGGCATCCAGGGCTGCGGCAGGCGTCATGGACCTTTAGGATATGGAACTTAAATCATCTCTAAAATTCTACAGTTTCACTTTATAAGACAGGGTTCAAGCAACAGCCCTCAACCTTTTTTTAACCCAGGGATTTGCATTTAGCTTACCTTGGCTTGAACTTTTGACGTTTCAGCTTCCTAAGTGCTGTGATTATAGGCATGTAGCAGCACCCCCAACTCTTTACAGTGGCCAGCTTTTATTCATAAACTATTTCATTCTGCTGGACTAGAACAGAGACCTCTGAAATGATTTACAAGCCTGTCAGATACAGAGTGGTGCCTGTGACATCTGAGTGAAAGGGGAGAACTTAGATCACAGTGTTCTGAACCAGCAGCCCTGTGTGTACCATTGCTAACACCTAGACCCGAGTCTTCATACTAGACCAGTCTCTGTCGACCTCAGTTTCTCCCTACTTTGCATCTGAGTGGTCTTCCTTACCAGGAAGCTGTGTCTCTATAGCCCCTCACAGGCCAACTTGATGAAAAGAGCCTGGGTTTCCACTGCTTCTTGGTCACTTTTTCAGTCAGATGGTAATGCACACTCACATTTCCCAGGAAGGCAGAGAGAGCCAAGAGTGTATAAGAACCAAAACTAGCCGCTGTAGTGCGTAGCCACTTAATGATGTTGAACACATTGTTTGCTTATCAGGATGCCTGGCATGTTCAGGGTTCTGGTGCTTTACAGTAGTGAAACAAAACTTAGCCCTGATCCCTGGCTGACACGCCTGGCACCCTCTCATTCTGGTGGGGAGGTTGACACACATAGGAAACAGACAACAAATGAGAAAAGAACACGTATGTGGGGGCAGCCAAAGCTTACATAGAAAGGAACAGTGAGGCAGATTTACCCTCTGTGGAGCGTCAGAACAGCGTTACTTTAAGATACCCCAGGTTTGTGATTTGTTATGATCCAGAAGTCTGGCTCAGAAATATTAGATCACTGTATTGGAAACAAAAATGTAGGCAGTGGTCCCTCAAAATACTGGTTTCTTCTTCACAAACCTTGCTACTTCTGCTCAGTGGCATCCTCAAGACTGTCCTGCAGAAGCCCCATTACACACCACTAAAATCCTTCCAGGCCCAGCGCCCGTCATGTCAGTGGGAAAGCCAGTAAGTGGGGAGATAAATGGCATTTCCTGTATTTTCCAGAGTGGCATGCCCGGCTCCACTCCAAAGCCCTGGAAGTGGACTGTGGAGCACATTGTCTATAAAGCCTTCCGCTCACACCTCCTGCCTCCGAAGCATTTCACAGAGGATGGAAATGTCCTGCAGCTTGCCAACCTGCCGGATCTATACAAAGTCTTTGAGAGGTGTTAAGTCCAGTCATAGCCACCTGAGTGACTGTGTACTCACCATCCAGATGAAGCATGATTTATGGACAAGGAAACCACAGCACAGTTGCCATGCTCAAGGTTTCCAGTGCTGACTGTTCTTGCTTTGTAACCCAGTGTTGTTGCTACAACTGAATGTGGGAAATTCATATTTGCTTCCACCTGTGGATTGGCTGCAAATAAACTATGCGTCTTGATGCGAATATATATATAAAACTTCACATTGGAAAATTATCTTAAGATAATTTTCACCTAGTATATACTAAGCTGTGTTGAAGACTCCTCCTGAGCACCTGAGGAGGCATTTCTGTACATATTGTTAAAAAACCTCTTGAAATTTTCCCAGATCATGCTATGATGTTTTTATTCTGGAAATTTGTTATTGGATACCATAAGGTGTGTCCACTCAAATTCATTTTAAAAGCAGCCCTGGCACAGCAACTTTTGAGAAGTCCATGTCTTGGATGTGTTTTCTAGACATCACTTCCTTCAGTGCCTAGGCTTAAACCCACTTAAAATTTCCTTAATAAACTCCAGCTTGCGTTAAAAAAAAAAAAGTCCTGAGGACATGAGCAGTACATGTCTCCATCCCAGCACCTGGAGGCAGAGGCAGGTGGATCTGTGAGCTTGAGGCCAGCCTGGTCTACAGAGCAAGTTCCTAACAAATGGAAACAACAGAGAGAGACCCTGCCTTTTAAAAAAAATAGTCCCAAACATGTATAAGGTGGTCCTGACAACTTGGTTGGATTTAGAATACCTAGGGAAGACATTTGGGCACGTCTGTGACAGTGTTTCCAGATCAGATAACCTGTTGGGGAAGACTTACCCTCAACGTGGGTAGCAGGAACAACTTCCAGTATGAGAAGATCTCAGGAAAAGTGTACACTTGCCTGTATCCATCACTGATGCTGCCCTCAGACTCATCTTCTTCGGTCTCCCAAGGTAGACACAATACCAAGACTCCTCCAGGGATTTTGATGCCAGATTAGGCCTACTAATGCAGCTAGCCATGTGAATCAAGCAGCTACCAAGTTTTCTACCTCTCCAACTTGCAGACAAGCCAACTTTAGACTGCCTAGTCTTTTCTTTGTAAATCCCTTTTATGCATCCCATGGATTTTGTTCCTGTACGAACCTGTCTTAAGTTATTGGTATGAACAACCAAGGTTGCTGCTTTGATGAAGGTACCATGTGGTTTAAAAGCTTTGGAAGAGGTATACAAGAGGAATGTGAGGAAGTTTGGAATTAGAGGCTGGGGAGCTCTGGAATACTGCAAATAAAACTTAATGGGTGATTCTGGTACATGTTTAGAAGAACTGCAGCCAGTAGGGGCTTGGCTGTGTGGTTTGAGAGGGGGAACAAAGACTGTCGTGGGATCTAGGCAGTTCATGTGACATGCTGACAAAGACCTGGCTTTGAGAAAGGCTGAACTCAAAAGTAATGAACTAAGTTGTTTGGCAGAGGCAATTTGAAGACAGCTTAACCGTTGGGTGGTGGCATGGTTATCACTGAGTTTATTGATGAGGTTGATAATGACAGTTCAAAACAGAAAGTTTGAAACATGTTTAAAGTTGCAGAAAAGGAGGGTGCAGACAAAGTCTGTAATTATTAAGGAGATGAGCACAGCTAGAGAGAAACCTTACACTTTGTACACCGAGGGTGCACTCACTGCAGTTCCAGCATGTTGATGTGCAAATTCTCTTGAAAAGTGTGAACAGAATGCCAAGTGAAAGGTGCCCTGCTTGAGAACCATCTGCCATATCCTCCCATGAATTCTGCCACTCCCCCTCTGTCAGATGGACTTGACTCTTAAACTGTGAGCCAAAATAAGTCCATCCATTTGTCAGGTATGTGGTTAACAGTAAGAAAAGATAGTTACTCATACAATATGTAAGAGTTGGTGTTGACTGGAGAAAGCTTCAGCTGAGACTCTCTTACTGTCAGTAGTCAAGGCTAATTTATTATTAGGGACAAATCTTGAAGCATCATTGCCCAGCCCTTTACCTGGTCAGAGTTAAGCTAGCTCACTTAGTGGTTCTTGTTTGGAGGATTCTGGGGAAGCAAAAAAGAGACACAGCCCTCAGCAACTATTTTGCTCTTCTTTGGTTTTATCTCTCTTTTTTTTTTTTTCCTCCTGGGTGATTCTGTTTTGGAGTTACTTTGGAATTGAGGGTAAGAGGACTGGTGACTACCAACTAACACTCATAGGACAGACTTTCTATCTATCAAAATGAGAAACTACAACAGTGATGAGGCTGCACCTTGGAGTGGGAAATGATTATGTCTTAGAAACCATTGAGATGTCAGCAACCACTTCTCCAGAGCCTTTCATAGACCTTGAACTTAATTACCAGTCAGACCACTGGCCTGCCAACATGGCTTGCTTCATCAGCAGTGCAGTATAGCCCCGACTGTCTCCTTTGTTCCCTTTTTCAAACCGTTAACACTTTGAAAATTAATTTGGGGTTCCAGAACCCTTTTATCTGTTCTTCTCAACATGGCCACATGAAATGAATCTCTTTGCCTTTATTTCTCTAAAACCAGTAATAAAAATATAAACTCCTCAGTGCCCAGATAAGCCACCTTAGTGGCAAGTCAAGTCCTGCCTCAGCAGAAATACAGCGCTCAGCCCAAGGATGGATACCTAAGGGTTTAAAGTAGAGCACAGACCACAGGAAGCAATGGAGAAGGTTCCAGGGGAAATGTGTCTTAATGAAGAAATAGTCATTTTAATTGGAAAAGATTAAAACAACAAGGGCTAGGGCTGGGGCTTTTCAGGGGAGGTTCATGAGCCCAGGACGGGTATAGGCTGAGTGGAAAGGAAGAGGTAATTTCCCCAAGTAAAGAGCTGGGCCACCTGATTGGCTTAGATGATATGCTAAATCTGCATTCCCGCCCCACCCATACAATTGTAGTTCCTGTTGGGAAATGCACAGGATGCTCTCAACTCAGGACAGTTTCCATATCCTAAAATTGAAGGGCTAGTGACTAAAAAAGGGAACAACTATCATTCACTTTTTAGTTAACTTTATTATCTAGTTGCAAGTCTGGATTAAGAGGCTTTGATTCATTAGACTTTTCCTCGATGTAGTTTCTTTGTAAACACTTTGAGCTACAGTAATCATTCCCATGAAACCACCTTGATTGTGACAAAAGAGAATCACAAACCCTATGAAGTGGCTACAGTAGAGGGAGCGGGGAGACCGTGTAGTGGGCTCTTCAAAGATGAAATTAAAGATCTTAAGCATTTTTATTCTAGAACCAGGTATGATGGTAAATGCCTGGAATCCCAAGGGGCCCAACGATGACGACTATGAGGCGGAGGCAACCTGGGCTACATAGACCCTGGTTCTCAAAAAAAAAAAAAAAACAACTTAATATTTCATCTTGAGAAAATAAGAGGACAAGACAGAACTGTACATGGTTGCCATGATTTGTCCTAAAAAAGCTTCTGTAACAATGACTATGTCCACCAATCCTGGCTGGCTGGCAGAAAGGTGGGCTTCATAGTTCTTCAGGTGGATTCCCTACCTGCCTGCACTGTCCCTCCCTCACCCCTCACGCTTGTCTGGGGTTTCAGTTCACAAATAAGCAGCAGATGAAAATACGGGAATGGCACAGCAGATACAGAGACTAAGGACCCTACTCTTTTAAGAGCATAAGCCTAGACTTCCTCTGCCCCATGCAATAAAGTTTAATATACACTCCCCATATCTTATTCCTAACATTTTTATGTAAATTTCTTATTTTTTTAAAAAAAAGCTTTTTCCTGCAAACAGAAATTTGAGTGAAATACAGACACCCCCCGGCCCCTGAATACTTCCTCACTGAAATACAATTGCTCTGGTAAGAAGAGTAGGAATCTTGGCCACTGGTCTCTAAGCCTGCATTACACCGTGGAGAAGGCACTTGTGTTTTGAGGTCTCCAGCAAGTGTCTCAGCACTCAGGATGGCCATCCTCCAGAACCCACACCAAGGCCTCCCAAGTGCCTAGTCAGTGAGGCAGCTGGAGGAAGATGGTGAGAAAACATGATTCTAGAACACTGAAAAAACAGCACAGACTAGTTCTCACTGTGGAAGTGAGCTACAAACAAAATCCAAATTCATGACGATTAAACCTGCTTCATTCTCATAAATTATAAAATACAAAGGTGGCTGTTTAATGACGAGACTCAAACAGTACTCGAAGGGCTTTGTGTCAATATACAAAAGAGTCACTATCTCTGGGCAAGGCCCGTAGAGGAGCACCCAGATGGCAGGGCCGCCTCCCTACTGCTGGGCTAGAAGGGCCGTCCTGTTTGCTTTCATCTTCTCTAGCCGCTTTGCCAGGTGGCTGTTGGTCATCTCCATCTCCTCGATCTTGTCCAGTGCTGTTCGTAGCTGCAGACAAAGAGTGCAGTCACTTATGTGGTCAGAGGAAAAGTCCAGGATCCTTTCCTTTCTGCCCTCTGGAGATGGGAGCTCTGTTAATATGACAGCCATGTATGGGGTCCCCAAACAGCTGCCACCTCTCTCCAGGCAGCTAGAGGCCTAAACAGTGGTGCTGAGGATTGTTTAAGCCATGAAACAAGTGTAAATGCTGCAAAAAAACAACCCTGATGTCATCTAAAGCAAAACCCAAAAATACTTTTTTTGTTTTGTTTTGGTTTGGTTTGGTTTTGGTTTTTAGAGATAGGGTTTCTCTGTATTGTTTTAGAGGCTGTCCTGGAACTCACTCTGTAGAACAGGCTGGCCTTGAACTCACAGAGATCCGTCTGCCTCTGCCTCCCGAGTGCTGGGATTAAAGGTGTGCGCCACCAACGCTGGCTCAAAAATACATTTTTACTTGCTGCTTTACCAAAAAAAAAGTCAATGGCAGCCACTGCAGGTCCAAAGTTTGTATGATGGGCAAGTGGCCCCGCTGTTTACCAGATCTTTTTGGTTTTAGTTACTTGAGACATGGTCTCACTATGTATCCATGGCTCGCCTAGCCCTCACTATGTAGACCAGGCTGCCCTGTAACCAACAGAGGTCGACCTGCCTCTGTGTCTGAGTGCTGGGATTAAATGCATGCACACCACACTTGACTAGAGTCAAATTTCTTCCACAGTGTGGCTTTCTTAGGAGTGTATTCC